AAGAAGCATTCTCAAGCAAGTAACCCCTTCCTGCCCCCCCCCCCCCCCCAAAAAAAAAAATAAATAAATAAATAAATAAAAATAATAGAAATGCCATTTTCACAAGGAAGGCAATGACTGGGAAATGTCCATTGTCAATATCTTTGGTCTATTAAAACCGAGTCCCACTGACTGCATTTGTACAGATACCAGCAATTAGTAGGATTAGAAATTTCTTTTTTATTTCTCATCTACTTGTAATTTATGAAGTCCACCACAAAACATGTTCAATATTTTTACCTTTTACCTGTTTCTCTAGCTTGACAGTGCCACCTCTCTGATCCAAGCAGCCAAGAATCTTATGAATGCTGTGGTCTTGACCGTCAAAGCATCTTATGTGGCCTCCACCAAGGTAATTGAGTACCTGTACATGTATTGCACAGATATGCTCAATATTTTTTAACAGCAACATCATGAAAAAAACATTTTAAATTGTTAAACTAAAATCACTGGTACATTTCCCAAGTTTTGAATGCATTTTGAATGATTTTCAAAGTATTTCATATTTATATTTACTTCTGTATTTGATTGATTTCAGTATCAACGATCTCAGAAGGGTGTCAATGTAAGTATATACTTAATTTAATCACTATTAAAAAAATTTGTAAGAAAATCACTTGTGACGGGCAAATAACTGCAATAGGTATGACGAACCTTACAGAAAAGTTCCAAGGCAGTTATGATAACAAGTATCACAAAGAAAAATGAAATGCCTCCAAAAAGCAAGCCTTTTGTTAGTCTGATGTCAGTGCGCATTGTTACACATAATTTGCTTGTTGAAGTTCATTATTTTTGTGGCCTTTTGATTTCAGTCTCCTGTTGTCTTATGGAAGATGAAGCCTCCAGAGAAGAAAGCACTTGTCCGTCGAGAGGATCCTGAGGAAATTACATCCAAGATCAGAAAGAGTGCTAAACTGAAGACTATCCATGTTGTGAAGGAATTGAGCGAATTTACAGAAATAGACAGTTTTTAAAGATCAGTTTTTAAAGACAATAAAGACATTATTTTCAATTTCTAACATTTCACACACATAATATTGAAATGTCCTCTTCAAAGTAATATTGCTTTTCTAAGTATAAAGAAGTAGACATTATATATAATGAGTAGATATTGAATGAGTTTTAGGGGAAATGGACATGTTGTTCATGAAGTAAACTTAGCATTTATCATCAGTCTCGGGAAGACATTAAAAAATTGAATCATTTAATTAAATGTATATATCATTAAAAGATTGCTGCTCTTAATGATTTAATAGTAAGGCAGTTGAGAACAGTCATGTTAGAATCTACCCAAGATGAGAGCTTGAATTCTATGTAATATGTAGTATCATAGCTTCATTCTGTAATTGAATCTCAGCACATTTACCCCTCTTGTACATATGAATAGCCTGCTTGTTCAAGCATATTATTTATCTCATAAATACAGACTTATAACTTGGGGTAATAACTGAATTTGGAAAGATTTTTTGTATGAAATGAATTTTACTGGGTTATGTATCACACATATACACAGAGAGAGAAAATTGTTCTTTAACATCTGTGGATTCTTTTTGGTACTATTGAAGAGGGTAATCAGTATCATTGCATCTTATCTTTAGAAATATGTGGCCTATGACGAATATTTTCTAGAGTGAAAAATAAGTAGTTTGACAATTTTTAGGAGAGACATGGAAAGGACTGGAAACAAAAGAAATTATCACATATACAATCTTGATTTGCATTACATATTATATGCCAACATTCCATAAATTAGCATTATCCGCACCTTTTAAGTTTTGTAGAATCTTACAGTTGAGCAAGTGAAATCAATAAAGCTGTCTGCTTATGATATATTGCATCATCTTTGACTTTTACTGACTGTCTAAACAGTTCAAAACATAATTACATGGGCTACTGTATCCAGGGCCGTAGCCTGAGCAAAATGCCAAGGGGGGCAGTAAGCAGACACAAGGGGGCGAAGCCCCCAAGGGGGGAGGGTGTGGGAGGGGGTTTCCCCCCNATAGCCCCCTAAGGGAGGGTGAGCTTTTTGGCATGAACTGAGTTGGCTAAAAACAGTACACCTTTGTAAACAGATTGTTGAATGATTGTATAGTGGCCATGAGTGCATTTTCTCACAGAATTGTAACCAACTTTGCAATTATTTTTTTTTTTTTCCTTGGCGATTATTTTTTTTGCACCTCAAATACCAGGGGGGGGGGGGGCAGCTCAATTGATCAATTAACTTAGAAAAATACCTTGACATGAATATTGGACAAAACAAAAAGCAGGACATTATTGGCCTATATCTTCTTGTGGACAAATTAAGCATATACACATATGAAGTCACAAGTCAAAATATATCATAATTTTGATAAAGGGGTCTGTTTAATGCTCGTTTACTTGTATACTTTTAAAATAATTAATCCCAGACTAAAAAGGTTTCCTGTTAAAATTCAATCTGTATTTTAAATACACATCGGTGAACAAAAGAAATCGACGGAGGTAGGAGAAAAAGTTTCCTAGCTATGGACGGTATTCTAGCATGCTAAATGAGGTAACCTATTTCACTCCATTCAACATATTTCGCATTCATAAGATGGTAGTAGGTTTTTAGGAGATGGACATCACTTAGATTTAATGTTGCCCCCGTAGAGGCGTTCAAAAATTGCACTACCGACGGTATTTCACGTCGTCAGTGCGGGGTATTGGGTATAGTTTTCAACTAGCAATAACCACGCCTCGGATAAACCTCATTGGCTATGGTACCGCCACTGCGCAAAGCTGACATCCCAATGTAGGTCAACCGGCTAAGTGCAAAGAGAGTTACTTTAAGTACACAGGTAGACGCTCATCCATACCAAGATACTTTATAAGCTATATAAATACGAGATATTAGTATTATATATTGTCAATTAACACATTTAATATAACTTTTATGTTTTATAATATTGATAATTTTAAAATTGCAAAATATGACTTATTACATGATATAAACGCTATTTAAAAATTATCTTTTATCAAGTGTGTTGGTTGCGACAAGATCACATCTACCACATCGCTAGAATTATACGGGTAAATGTAATTTCAATCTCAACGTAAACAAGATAAGATACCCGTAAATGTGTAGAGGAAAAATGGAGAATTTAAAAAATCTCAACTTTTTGTTTCTCTTGACACCAAAATGAAAAAGAATCAAGTTATCATGCGTGTAAACCTGCGTATGACACAGTTTTCAGTTGGTCTCAAAATCGGATTTATTGGTAAAACATTGACTCAGTTATTAATTAACACACACAATGTTAACATAAACGGCAAATGGATTGTTGTTGTACAAATGTTTAGTAAAATGATGTAGCTTTAGAGATCTAAATAGTAACAAATTATTAATATTTGGCTTTTAATGTTACATGTTAACATCGTTGGCTATGTTACTCATATAATGTTACAGGTACGTACTGCATGTTTACGTAGTAAAATAGTAAATATTTGACCTTCAAAGTACCTTATTTACAGTAACTGTGATCTTAACCCTTATGAGAAAGACCATATCATGGAATTATACATTTTACGTGAAATGGGTCACAGGCTGTTTAATGGTACAATTTTACATGTGGAAGGGGTTTTCACCTTAACACTGTTCTCTTTCATTTCTTGTTAAACAAATTAGTAATGTTTTGCTTATTTTCCTTTCTAAAGTGGGATTTTCATCCCACTTCTGGTCTAGTTATCCATTTTCAAAAATGTTATATATATATATAGCATGCCTTTTCAATAAGTGCACAGACAAAAGTGGAAGACACAAGACCACAATCTCATGAGTTGCATCTTTAATAGATTGTAATAGGTACAAACTGGTCAGGGCATTTAGAAATCTTTGTTAGAACAATCTTGACAAAGTTAACTTAGGTTTCAGCCTTATGAATGCAAATGAGGATTTAGGTATGAAAAAATGAAAAAAAATTATGGTATTTTTTATTGAAGGTTGGAAGGGGCATCGCATTCATTAAATAGGGGACCATCCATCTTCCAGGGTTTGTCTTTACTGTATTGTTTAAGCAAAAGAATTACTTTTGAAAATAATTGGTGGCCAATATCAATATTACAGGTGTTTTGATTAAATATAATATTATACCAATGAATGTACCAATAAATTGTACAATCAGCACTGCAGACTCGGGTGTCTATTAGATTGCTGAAGGGTCAATCAACATTTATTTAAAATAAGTTGGTTTACAAAATTCAGTGCAACTTCCTATATACAATCTGCTGTGCATAACAAATGGAAGAACCCTGCTCATAAATTAGCATTACTGACATAACAGAATAAGTATTTCAAGGCTTATCAGTATTGTTACATTTAACAATGCAACTACTTCAAATGGAAGCAACCAGGGCACCACAATAGTTATAACTATCCATTTTAATCTTAAAAGTAAAAAAAAAACATCAACTCTATATTGAAAATGTTAGGTAAGGGGAAGCAGTCTCTACTTAATAATCACATTTGCAATAAAGAAAATACATCAAGCCTGAGCTTTAAAAATTCTCTCTAGAAATCTTGTGCTGTTAGACCAGAGATCACATGGTCACAAACAGGAACAACATGGCATGTTTGCCTCTCCTGAACATGCCTTTATGATGACCATAAATTCTGCAGTTACACGAAAACAATTTATTCATAGACAGTAGAAGCAGCAGTCAAGTAATATTGTCTGCTATTATGTACAAATAGCTCTCCCGTTTATCTTCGTGGTGTCCTGGAGACATTTAATCAACTACCAGTGCCTTAGTGACACAGGCATGCCCAGACAATATTAGGAAGATGCTGAATATAATGCAGTTCTTAGTATGTTGGGGTTGTTGTTGTACTTCCAGACACCTCTTACAGGTAGATTTTCCTGAGGTCTGCAGCAGAGGTGATCATGTTACACTGTGGGCACAACTTCTTGGCTCCCTGAAAACGTAAACAGAGAGTATTTTTTGGAAGATAATCAAAAGATGTTTATCTTATACCCAAACGTAATGCCTTTTTTTACCCTTTTTGATAACATACTGTTAACAAACTTATCATTTTTAAAAAGTAATCTGTTGCACTTTTGTCCATAATATTGAATACTTTACAAATGCATTCAGACTTCACAGATTAACCTGAATAGGACAATTTTACACATTTTAATTTGCAACATTTTGGGGTGTGGCTAAAGTAAGTTCTAACACGACTTGTAAACTTACCAAAGTTCTCAACCAGCACTCTTCACAGTGGACATGCCAACACTGAATGGAGGTTAAAGGGGATGCATAAGGCTCCTAAAACAATGAAAAATTTGTATTTATACACTTTTTATAGGTTTTTGTGACTGAAATACCTTCACTGATAAAAAATATATAAACAATGTTGAGGTCTTTGGATATACTAAATACATGTTGATCTTATTACATCATCTGTGCCAGTGTGGAAAAATTATTTGAATCTCTAGTTTGCATATGTGCATGCATGTAAAACATATAGAAGCACTTACCATGCATATTAAGCATTTAAATTTGTCCCCTTTCGTGGTATGATCTTCTTGATCCTTCACTTTGGCTTTAAGAGCCTGAATGACCTCCTTAGCCTTGGGATCTTGAACCTGGACAGTTTCAGAACTGGATACGGTCTCATCTGAGTTGTCTGGGCTTTCTGAAGTACCAGGTTCTGCTGAAAAGCAAAAATGATGCTTACAGATAAAGTACTTTTTTTTGACACCCTCAACTTTGACCTAACACTTTATATAAAAGCAATGCACTAGCTAACTTATGGAAAATTAAACTAAAAAATTACACGTAACATATAATGCAAAACATGTTATACGAACCAGCTAGGTCAGAGTTTCTTACCAGAATCAGAGGACCATTTACTTCTGTCTGCAGAAATTGCCTTGGGTTGTGTTCCTTCCCCTCTAGAAATGAAAATCAACGAAGGTAATTGGTTTGAAGTGAAGTCCCTCTATTCCATCACAAAAATGTGTTAAAATTATTCAAAAGCCTTTTGTTATCACAAATCTTTTTGAATCTCCAAAGTATAATATTTTTTATTTTGGATCCACAAAAAAAGTGCTTTTCTAAAATACTGTCTGTCATGGCTCACCTTAACACTGCTCCCCTGAGGGCCTCTCTCTCCTGATCTTCCCCTGAGTCATCAGCACTGCATGGAATGATATCAGCTTCTGTGTACTGGACACCGCCATATTGTTCAGAATCGTCTCCATCTACATCCAAATTGATATCTTCATCAGACTCAGATTTTTTGGATGTTTGGAAGCCGGAACCTGAATAAAAAGGATAAAGATTGCATGTTGTCAAATTTCAGTGGTCTTAAGTTTTTGCTGAAATTGGTATAAAATTTAACATTTTTGATGATATGTTTATGAAACCATAATTCATGTTTGGAATGAAAGTTCAATCTTACCAGCCATTCCTCCCTGTAACAGAGAGCTGGCTCTAATTCTTTTCTGTCCAGCCCATTCATATTCTTCAAACTGATCCCCTTCAATATCAACCACCTCTTCTTCTCCACTGTCTCGCTGAAATCAAATATAAAAAATTCAAAAATATCCTTTTAAATATTGCCTGAAATTTATCTTTAAATGTTTTTCATTCTAGATTATTGAATATCAATAGTAAAGCTACCCAAAAGTGAATAATCTAAAATAGAAATGCTTCTATTCTTTCCTCATTTTGACTTATATATATATATATATATATATATATATATATATATATATATATATATATATATAATAGATTCTAACCAAAATGGCAGGAAATCTGACCCTACTTTTTTGAGACATTTTTCCACATGTTCATTCAGCTCCTCTGGTGTCCCGATCACCTTTTCATTGCAAACAGGGCAAGATGTTTCTTCCTGGTTTCTCTTCCTTTTGTTTGTTCTAGCTTTAGCTAAAAAAGGAAGAATTATAAAGAAATTAGCTAGGCAATTTTGTACATCCCCATTAAATAACATGAATTTCCTTTTTTATTTCCATTACGTATGTACACCAAAGCCAGAAAAGTAATACTTGATTGAAAAAAAAAGAACACCTGCACATGTTTTTATTACTTGAAAGATATAAAAGTATCATAAATGTAAGGTATTCACCTGCTAGCCTATTCTGTCGGTTTGCTTTGATTCGCAAATACGTCTGAAAGAAACCAGAGTGGAAAAATTAACACTTATGTGTACCATTAACATATCTGCATTTGGGTAAAGTGATATACACCATTTTCAATTTGAAATAACAAGTAAAATTTCAATATCCCTGGGGCACATACCCCAGCAGCTTAGCTTTCACACAAAAATGTATGGCCTGTTACATCCAATGTTTTTAGTTCTGTTAAAATGTCTAACTTTCCAGATTTGAGTGACAGATAATCTCGAACTTGTATTATATTAAGGCAGTTGCCCCTGAGCACAGCTGCTCACTGAAAAACAAACTCAGCCACCCTAAAATTATAGTCATTTGATTTTATCAAGTAGGAAAATTATTGTTTATTTCACCTTTCAGTTGTGTTTACTATTTACTTAGGGGACTTTATATTGCCAAATGAACTCCCCTCTGGCAGTAGCCCTTTAACAATACCTGGAGGTACTGAGAAACACTGTATCAACTAAATGACCCCGAAATCTAATCCGATCAAAAATTAATGTGCAATTCTATTACTCCACTTGGTCACATGAGCCTGAATGGTCATTGCAGGAGGAATGCTGTCAAACTGTTTGGATAATCTTTAACATACACACTGGCAGGAATCAAGCAGCCAATGATTGACACTGGGTCCCCAATGTCTGTGTTGATTTAACTGCCAAGTTGGTCAACAGTGACCATCAGCTCAGCTAATTGTTTTAAATCCCCCAGGCTGGAAATGTGAACAGGACACAAATACATCATTTTGCTGTTGGGCATAGTGCGTGGAATTATAGAATTTTTGGGTTTTCACACATTATTACAAGATCAACTAATTGACAAAGACCCTTTGGATAAAACTGGCCTAGCTAGACAAAAGGTCAAATAGGGGTGAATGTTACTGTAATAATTGAACATTATTTATGTTACAAAAGACTGACCACAGACTAAAGGTGATAAATGGAAGTGCATGAATTATATATGTGATTCCAGTCCACTGTTATTTTGTATATTGCATAAGTTGTATTGGTTAGAATTACTATTGATTCTTCCAGATGGTTCATTAAATGCACTCAATTTAGTGGGACACAGGTGTGAGTGGGCTAAATGTACAGTTATACACGTAGTTCTAAAGAGTAATCTTTTTACGGTGCAAAAGTCACAAATATCAAAATTTTTCCTTTAAAAAATATTCTAATTCATTGTGGAAAAAATCCTTTTAGGAAAAGTACTGCAAGTTGTTAAACCATTGTAGTAGTCAAGACAAAACATTTTTTTATGTTCAATAACATTATACCCACTTTTTGCAGCATCACATACAGTCAGGCTAATAAAACAATGTGTTGTACATTAATGAAAACTTAGTCACCAGCCACCGTCTTTTACAGAATTTATAAAGTGATTCTATGCCATAAACCAAGAAGAAATTATGCCATTATGTTCATATTTTTGAGTGACCAATGCTTGATAGTTTTATTATGACATAAAGTTGACAGCCACATTGTTCGACAACAAAAGCACCAGCTCTGTTGGAACCATGCATATCATTAATTTTTTCATTACTTCTTTCACAACCCAGCATCTCGTCTGCATTATGCTTCAAATCACGTCCAGGTCCCGGTGCAATTACCATCATTATCATTACAACTGTTCACATCAAAAAAGGCAATCATCTCCCCCAAAGCAGGGAGTTAATGACAGCCNAGTTCTGTTAAAATGTCTAACTTTCCAGATTTGAGTGACAGATAATCTGGAACTTGTATTATATTAAGGCAGTTGCCCCTGAGCACAGCTGCTCACTGAAAAACAAACTCAGCCACCCTAAAATTATAGTCATTTGATTTTATCAAGTAGGAAAATTATTGTTTATTTCACCTTTCAGTTGTGTTTACTATTTACTTAGGGGACTTTATATTGCCAAATGAACTCCCCTCTGGCAGTAGCCCTTTAACAATACCTGGAGGTACTAAGAAACACTGTATCAACTAAATGACCCCGAAATCTAATCCGATCAAAAATTAATGTGCAATTCTATTACTCCACTTGGTCACATGAGCCTGAATGGTCATTGCAGGAGGAATGCTGTCAAACTGTTTGGATAATCTTTAACATACACACTGGCAGGAATCAAGCAGCCAATGATTGACACTGGGTCCCCAATGTCTGTGTTGATTTAACTGCCAAGTTGGTCAACAGTGACCATCAGCTCAGCTAATTGTTTTAAATCCCCCAGGCTGGAAATGTGAACAGGACACAAATACATCGTTTTACTGTTGGGCATAGTGCGTGGAATTATAGAATTTTTGGGTTTTCACACATTATTACAAGATCAACTAATTGACAAAGACCCTTTGGATAAAACTGGCCTAGCTAGACAAAAGGTCAAATAGGGGTGAATGTTACTGTTATAATTGAACATTATTTATGTTACAAAAGACTGACCACAGACTAAAGGTGATAAATGGAAGTGCATGAATTATATATGTGATTCCAGTCCACTGTTATTTTGTATATTGCATAAGTTGTATTGGTTAGAATTACTATTGATTCTTCCAGATGGTTCATTAAATGCACTCAATTTAGTGGGACACAGGTGTGAGTGGGCTAAATGTACAGTTATACACGTAGTTCTAAAGAGTAATCTTTTTACGGTGCAAAAGTCACAAATATCAACATTTTTTCTTAAAAAAATATTCTAATTCATTGTGGAAAAAATCCTTTTAGGAAAAGTACTGCAAGTTGTTAAACCATTGTAGTAGTCAAGACAAAACATTTTTTTATGTTCAATAACATTATACCCACTTTTTGCAGCATCACATACAGTCAGGCTAATAAAATAATGTGTTGTACATTAATGAAAACTTAGTCACCAGCCACCGTCTTTTACAGAATTTATAAAGTGATTCTATGCCATAAACCAAGAAGAAATTATGCCATTATGTTCATATTTTTGAGTGACCAATGCTTGATAGTTTTATTATGACATAAAGTTGACAGCCACATTGTTCGACAACAAAAGCACCAGCTCTGTTGGAACCATGCATATCATTAATTTTTTCATTACTTCTTTCACAACCCAGCATCTCGTCTGCATTATGCTTCAAATCACGTCCAGGTCCCGGTGCAATTACCATCATTATCATTACAACTGTTCACATCAAAAAAGGCAATCATCTCCCCCAAAGCAGGGAGTTAATGACAGCCACAAAAACCAGGTGTTGAGAATCAATGGGAGGTGGCCACTTTTAACACATTAATTGTCACGCCAATGTTACGTTAGTGGAAATTATTGGGCCGTTTCTACAACGGTTACCCTAACACAATGATCGCAAGGGAGACCGAGGGTGGTAAGGTATATAATGCGTGACAAACCCCCTATAAAAGACCAGCCACTGGGGAACAATGCTTGATAAAGTGAGCTGCATATTTGATGAGCTTTGAGATCAATTAAATAAGTAGCGCCTTAATGTAGTTCAATAAAAGGTTGTGAAGCAGGCATGGGTGTTGCTCATGTGGGGTAGTGGCTTTTTTCAGGGGCAGTTCACGTGTGGTAATCAAATCAGTGTTTTATGGCTCCTGTGGGGGGACCAAGCCATGCTTTATTGAACTTCCCTTTTGTCACAGTTATCCAAAATCCTTCAGGGGTGCTGCCAAATGCGGTTTCTGTATTCACTTCAAAAAGTGGCTTCTGACCCCAATGGCTGTTACGAAATATTCCTTTTTCAATACTGTCCTTTTCTAGCCTTTATCTAATGTAATACTCCCCCAGACAGGGATCCGCTAGGGTACAGATAGTCCAATACCAATCCAATCATGTCAGAGATCAACTATAGTTTCAGATTTTTCTTCCCCACTTAAATTATTTGAACAGACAATGTATAACACCAGGGGAGAGCTTTTGCTTAATTTTATCAATATCTTTGCCAGACACAATTGTCATTAAATAGAAATGGGTTAATTAGTAATTTTTTTTTTGAATGCTTTATCTGCACAGAAAGATAATGCAGTAAATTCAGTATGTTTCAATGCATTCGAAGCTATACTTAATTATGTTTGCAAATATTTCTTTTTGAAGTGATTTAATAAAGAAATGATTGTTAAATTAGGAATTGCTTAGTACTCTTTATTCAATGCAGGTCACGAGAAAAAAATGTTGTCTCAGGATGTATGCTTCAGTTTGAAAGGAAGACTGAGAGGTGACTTTTAGTATTTACAGAGGTCAGCTAGTTCATTCATTCATCCTATTTATTTTGTCCCTTAAAACATCAAATGTCTACTGCGATTATCTAGTATCAAATTAAAAGTTTCTGACTCACTTCTGTTAGTATGAAAAACCTTTTTTTTTCCAAAATTTTTACCTCAAATCTTGTCTGTCCCACTCCATCCAGGCCAGGGGAATCTGAATTTCTTCTGCTGCTGGTAGATGGACTTGGGAAGCTCTAAAAGAAAAAAGATATAAATATCAGGCCTGTAGCCAGCAATTTTTAAATGAGGTCTTTCTTTGGAAAAGTGGAACTTTTGACCATGAAGACACAGAACCTAGATCAAATTCTGATTCACAGTAAAGATTTTCCCAACCAAAAGGATGGTTCATTCCAATATCTGCAGATATCGCTAACTTGCCTGAGAAAAGATTTCATAGAAATGAATAAGTTATATATTATCTTTCAATAAAAATTTTCACATCAAGATGCAAAAATTTTCATAATACTTTTGGCTTTAAGCATGCTTAACATGATGTTTTTAAGGTTAAGGCAGGATTCTACTGATGTAAAATTGGGAAAAAATATGCATGTACTTTTAGATTTTTGCTTATCAATTAAAATGCTTCTGATAAAATCGCTTTTTAGTATGATCTTATTGGTTGTAGAGGATGCTGCTCCTTGGTGTATTACACATCGTAATCTAAGGGTATTGAATCCTTGTGAAATCTGACCCAATAATTTCATAGTTGCAAGCATTTCCCAGTTGTCTAATTTTTCCACAGGGGAAACAAGTCATTTGTAGTGACAAAATTTCCAATTACCATTTCCATACAGATAGAGGATTTACTGCAACTGTTTGTCTGGGTGTAATTCCAACAAAACAAAGTGTGTTCCTGAATCTATTGAAAAGCAGCCAGGTGAACAGTCCAATTTCACCATTCCCCAAGCACCACTGTAAATAACAGGACCTACTAGCCCTATAGTCATAGCAAAACTTAATTCTGTCAGACAAATTGCACACCCATAACTTTGTCATTGGAACATTCTTAAATTGTAGTTAGCAGTTGTGTGTGTGCAGCCAAGTGCAGGATGACTTGTATGAAGTCTGACAGCCACCTGGTCACCTGAACATATCCTACATCTAATTCCAGGTGTTTCCACAATCACAATAACGTTGAACATTTTCAGTGCCTGTACTACAATCTGTGGACCAAATAAATTGAGTATGATTGGTACGGTGAGTATTGAAAATATTCCTGCACTACAAGAACTTTTTTATATTGAATAGAAAATGGCAAAATTAACTTTTTTTTTGCATTTTCCCTGTCTGATTTAAATGTATAAGACTATGAAAACAGAACCGTTTTCTTATTTCAAAACATAACATAAATACCTTCTATTTCACAATGACATTCATGTTTATCATTTAATTATATTATTGTTAATTAAAAAGACTATGAAAATAAAACTACTTGTTTATTTTAAAATATTACATAAATACAAGCTATCCCATACAAACTTACAAAATAATTAATCTGATATTGTAAATTAAAAAAAAAAAGAATCTTCCTCTTTTCTTACTTAAATTTGTGAGAGGTTATCTAGTGCAGACATTCAGATCTACCGCAAGCATAAATTGTGTGGTTTGTCAAAGCACCATTAGCACAAATATGCCAATGAAACCACTCAGAAATAAGCCACAATGTACAAGATTAGGAAGTATATATATAGCATTATTGTACATAAAATATAATATTTTAAAAGGTTAATGTCCTTTTGAAATATTCTTGCATACTCATTCTTCACAAGCAGAAAGATTTTAGATGTACAATGATGATGGGGAAAAAAGGGGAGGGGGAGATTTAATGCAAAAAGTATGCGTTTGAAGAGGAGGCTGTCAAAATTTAAAATCTTGACTACGAAGTTTGGTAAAAACAGAATTACAGCAGGGCTTTAAAATTAAACCTCACAGGCAATAAAAGTAGGAGGATGTAGCCACTTTGGAAGCAGGAGGATTAAAGGAAGTAAAGCACTTCACATTAAACTACACCTTTACCACTTCTACAAACACTACTTATCAGGGGCAGCCATGTTAAAATAATCTATTACCTGCTGCTGTCAAATTTATCACTGTGACCAATTACTTTCATGCAAGCATGTGGACATTTTGTCTCTATTATCATACCATTAAGAGTCAAATGTGAAAACTTAACAAGTTTTGTGGGTCAAAAAGTTTTAATATGCAGCAATGCGTTGCAATAAATTGCCTTTTCTCTTAACCCCCCCTACTCCATGCCATTGTGGAACTAATCCCCAATGGATGCAATAGTCAGATTTGTTGGTGAAAATGTGTTAAACTACGCAGTACTCTTTGAAAATCAAAAACTAATTACCTTAGAAATGGCAGACACATAGACTGATAACAGCCATAATGGGCAAACATCTAAGGGTGTCTCAAAATTACTTTACAATTGACGCATGTCAGTACGAAAATTAAAAACTGGTTGACAGTAAAGAAAAGAAAAGAAACATTTAATGACACTAAGTGAATTTAGATTTGACCCTCCCTTTTTAAATCTGTTGCAAAATAGAAAAATGGTATCAACTTTACAAATTTAAAGAACACACACAGACTCAATTATTTTGTAATGAGTAGTTATGCACAGCATACATATCATCTTTCAACCCTTATTAGTTTCCAGACAACATAAACTAGAAAAAAAAAGATACTTTGACTTGAAAAAAAAAATTGCTTTTAGATAATATTCAACTAATTAATAATAAAAAATAAAAGTTAGAAGTGAAACTGCTCTAAAGTTTAAATATAATATAGCAGAAGAATTATATTTCTTTTTTTTACCTATCCAAGACATGCTTATAACAACCTTTATTATATTTCTCTACACAAATTGAGCATATTTAAAAGATTATGGCATATAACATTATAACATATATACCTTCTTTCCCTGTGAACTTGGATCTTTACATGCACCTTTTCTTCCAGTTCTGAAAAGACAAAAAAAAAAAAAAAAAAAAAAAAACTGAAATTTTTTTCAAAATACTGAGCAACTAATGCTATAAATGATAAGATACAAGTTAAAAAAATGTAAGAAATAACATTTTAGCATCAAGTTTAATACAATGGCACCTGAGGGATTGATCTTAATGGTATCTAAATCTACAACCTCTTGAAACAAGCTGATAAAAAAGTGATTCCAATCTGGTTTCATTCTTTGACTCTAGGCTCAATGCCAGCAAAATCCAATCACAAGTTATTCAGGGCAATATTCAAAATAAATGGGAGGCTATTAGCTTCTGGTGGTATTATGAAGTTCTCCTTTATGTCAAGATACGACTTAAACAGACCAGGGTTTTATTAAAAAGACCCAGAGTACTTAATCCCTTAATTGCTGCATTATCTTTTGATTTTCCTGCTTGCTTTTTCGCAATACCTAATAACACTCCATGTGCCAATCGATCAAGAGAGGAAGCCAGAAATAATAAAGATATTAATTCAATATACTGACTTCTTTTACCAATATTTACATGCCTGTCTTGGGCAATATTTCACTAGTAATAGGAAATGAAAACACTTAAATTTTTAATTAAACCAAGCCCAGATAGATAGACAGCAGTGGGCTTATGCCCTGCCTTAGTGATGTTTTATTGAGACACTCAAAATTCAATTAATTTACTATTATTAAACTTCACTAGGAACCAGCTGACATTTGAATTGACTGGCTTATTGGTGATAATCCAGCAGTTCACTTTGGAAAGAACGGAATGAATTCTCCTTTATTGCATGAAGCACAAAATGCTTTAATCTGTATTGACCATTTTCTGAGCTGTTTATTGGTCTAGTGTCAATAGGCAAGAACAAAACAGCATGTAATAGACAAATTTATTATCAGCTGACACCCATAAAAGACTGTAGCAGGCAAAACAAAGATCCATTACAGTCAAAGGAAAATAAAGAGCTAAAGCAAACGGCCAACTGACTCAAAATTAGTAGAAACCTGAATGTTCACAGCATCATTCATTCATAACAATAACATTGCCATTTTTCTAAGGGAGGTTTCTAGATATCGTCACACATCTTCCATGTAAAAACATATTTTTAGCAGTCAGTAAGCACAAAAAATTAACTTGAAATGAATACACAGGAAACCGCTACCTGATCCTGATGTTTTCTCAATTAAACACAAAACCGGAGTGTATCATGAAAGGTTCTAAGGTTATTGTATTCCTTGTGTGCAAAACGAGAAATAATTAAATGTAATTATTGACACGTCCAGACTTAATCCAATACACTTCTCATTTTTGCACTTTTGTGACTATCTGGAACAACACAGAGCACACAATGACTTCGCACCAAACTAAACAATCTGCAGGCACGTCTACAGAGACCGAGAAGAATTCACTCTTTATCTGTCACTTCCTAAATTTACTAATTAAAAACAAGAATGTAATATAACAGGGCAGAGAGTATAAAGCACAAAACCTTAACCAAAATACAATGTACCTGCAAATTTTGTCCAGTTTTTCAATTTCCATGATTAGGTGACTCTCCATCTCCCCGGTCCGCAATGTCAAGCCACATACTGGGCAACAGCCATCTTGGATGTTTCGTTTTCTTTGCTCTAAAAAATAATTTAAAAAATCAATTGGGTGTATCTTCTATAAAAAAATTAAATTAAACATAAAAATAAGAAGAGTTTATTCAAAATAACTTCAAGAAGGTTCAGTTGGGGAAAAGTTGTCAGTGCCAATGCATTATGTTCTTATCTGGGCCATTCACTCTAAGTTTTTTAAAGAAATTCATTTCCCATTCAGTCAACAGTTTAAACCCTAAGTTTTATTGCTTTTTAAATCATCCGCTTGGAAAAATTCTTATTTCAAAAAAGAAATAGTAAATTTTTTTCTTAAAATATAAATTCTAAATTCTTTTAAAACTCTTTACCTATTTACAAATGATTATTTTTACAACACTGCAATATGTGGAAGTTAATTTTAGGTAGGTGTAAGTAATTTTCTTAAAATATACATAAATATAAATTCTAAATTCTTTTAAAACTCTTTACCTATTTACAAATGATTAAACTTTCTGCACTGAATTTCCTTTTTCTGTTTTTTTTTAGTTTTCATTTTTATTTTTATTTTTTTTATTGCAAAAGAAATGATCAGAAATGGAAATCAGTTACAGGTATACGCCCCAATAAATAATTCAGCTTGAGAAAGTATTCCACTAGCTCACAATGATATGAGAACATCACGACCGTCAGCTTCCCACACATATGAACTTGCTTACCCAGTCTCACATCTAACATTGCAATATCAGACATGCTGAAAACTTTTTAGAGTGGTCGTACATTTGGAGTAGTGAAAAATTTGCCGGACCGAATGGATTTTTGTCGGACCGAAAATTACCCTATTCGTTTCAGACAGATACTACCAGTACGATTCTAAAGGTAGCTTACTTTGTTTGTGAATGTGAAGGAAAATGTGAAATGGAAGGGAAAAAACGCTTTGGGTTTTATATAATTTTATTAGGGAAGTATGTAAAATGATGACTCTAAATTCAAAAGTGTGGCTTTTAAAACTCTTGTCGGTCCAATTTTTTCCTGGTCATGACTGACAGTTTCAGCATGTCTGCCACATGTGGAAGTGTCTGGGCAAATGGAGGTAATCACCTAGATACTATCAAACTGGAAATGTTCATTTGAACATATACGGGTAAAACTTCACCAATGTGCACATAGATCTCCCTTTCTTACAAAAAAAAAAAAAAAATTTTAACATAGCCAAGTGCTCCTTAAAAACATTCAATTATCACTTATTCTGATAACAGGAAAAATATCACAGAACAGAAAGTAACATATTTGTGTCTATTTTCCTCATGTCTCCAAGTGAAAATTAGGTTACCTGTCAGGTACAAATTGGAAAGCTAACGTGTTTCCAAGTTTCTAAATATCTAAATAAGGCTCTTAAAACTACTCCAGTAGACTACATTTATTTTGTCTACCGAGACTGACACAAGGTGACTACAGCCCACCTTGTGTACAAATAAACTGGAACCCAGAAACTACAGTGTTGGGACAAAACATCAAAGTGTGCCTTAATCAGCTTTGGGTGATTATCTCCTGCAGTCAAGTCCATTCTAAAGTACAGAGAATAACAGGATTAAATCAGTGTATACCTGGCTTCTGTGCAAATGCATTTCTCCAAGTGATAACTATCCATTTTAGGCCCAGTATACTAAACACCATGGGCAACCAGTGGACATTTTGAGGATTTGTTCTACAGGGATAGGAATACCCAAGCATTGTATCCAGATTGCAGTATTTAACTTTAAATTGAATCACCCCATGTAAACCCTTGAGTACATGTGAATTCTAAGGCAACTTTGTATCTGTATTCCTTTAGGCCATCCCCCAACTACTGTAACTTTCTGGCTGTGTTTATAAAACCTGGCGTGGCTAATTGATAGCAGCTTATGACAATGAAGGTGCTCCAGGTAGAACCAACCCTGCATGGTTTGTAAAGAAAAGGGGGAGACAGAGGGATGGGGAAAATTAGGTTGACTCTTTTGGTGGAATAATAAAGCTTTGCCATGTGGTTGAAATGAACAAATACCTGTAGCTGTATACCCCTACTGACAATACAAACTAGAAACAGATTAGTGCCAAGAATCAATCTCTATATTCACTTTTCATAATTGCCTTTTTGCTAGTAAAAATACCCCAAAACAGAGTATTACTGTGCCAATTTTCTCTTCCAGAAGGTGGTCTTTGTAGGCGGAGGGTAAAGTAAATTTATTGAAGTCCGACTCCCCACACCACCATACTAAACACTAGGGAGTAAATCTACAAGTTGTGCAATTCCTCAAGTCACTCTGATGTTCAGGTTTCAATAAACTGTGGCTTGTGTCTCCAAAATGGCAATTAATTTGTTTACCTGGTCTGTTTGTAGGTTTAATCACAACCAGAGTAGTTCATATTACATTTTAATCCTCATACAAATTAAGTCAACATTTTCTGCAATTACAGCTCTATCAAACTGGGGACAAGCTTCAAACACATGAGTACACTGTTACAGAAAATGTGATTGTAGACCAGCAAAATGAAAATGTAATATGACAACCTCATTGGTTGGGATTTTTTTTTCGATCAAAATTTATTTAAAGAAGAAAAAATGGGCATTTCATGTATTCACAAAAGGTCTTTTAGTTATTTTTAAAAAGTTGTACAATATACAAGATACTGTATCAGTTGAAATGGGAAAGAAAAAGCAAGGGTTTATATAAGATTACATTTAATGAATAATGACAATTTTACCCACATTTAAAAAGAAAAAAATATTTTAAAAAATTTCCCCTATATTCATATCATATCCTCATATTCATGTACTTGAAAACAGGCAAATAAATGTGACGAAAGTAGTTTTAACATCTCGTGGTTCTTTTAGTGCAATGCCATAAAAAAATCAACACTATTGATCATGTTAATACAGCGTGAAAGATAAATTTATAAAAAGAGTGAAATTCCAAGGCTGCCACATTGATGCCATCAACTGCTTTTTTTTCACAATAAAAATGTACTTTGAGACTTTTTGTGTCTAATATATCACTATTTCAGAAAATTTTCTAAAAACTGTCTAAAATGACACTAAAGACTTAATGAATGTTAAAAAAAAATCATACCAAAAATGTAGAACAAGCAGTCAAAAGAGAGTGCCGACTAGGCATTTTTTTCATTTTGCAAATCACAGAGAGTTAAGAAAGAACAAAACCAATAATGTCCATTAAATGTAGACACACATGCATTAAAAAGTAGAAGAAAACTGTTAAACTAAATCCAGCAACAGCCTTCAAATAAAAAAGGAAATGGATTCTTCAGCTTAATGACAGTGGCTCATAAAACTACAATAAAAAAATCAGAAACTGCTGTGCCTCCTCGGTTGCCGAGATATTATCAGTTGTTCAGAGTTGTAACCACTACAGTGTTTGTCTGCAATCAGACACCAGATGGGGATTGTATAGTAAAATGAAAAGCTGACGGAATTATAATGCTACCTCTCGTGCCAGTCAAGTTTATTGCTGATAAACTCCTGAATGCTCTCTCATGGGAGTTTTGAAAATATAATCTCGAGTTGTTTTAAAGGTTGTATACATGTTTAATAATGTTCATAAATATCTTATCAGCAGTTTAATGATTTTCTTCACAGAGGGGTAGGCCCCTTGACTTTTTCATGAACTGCTGTCACCACCTGTACTCCATTAAATTGGGGTTTGATGTTCCACACAATAATAACAACTCTAACTTAATTTAAAAATACTGCACTAAATTATCAAACATGCCTTCTTCATTTCTGTAGGTAATTTCTTTGTCAGAAAGCTATAATATGAATATTTTCCATAGTAAAATAGGCTTTTTTCCCACAATTCTGGCTTACTTATTTTTCCCCATCAATTATTCATCTCCCATTTTCTACTCCATTTACTTTTAATAGCACAGATATAATAATTTCATGATCATCTAGAACCTCTTGGACACAGTGGGGGTGTAAAATGGATCAATAAAACAGCATGTAAGATTAATAGTCTCAATACTAATTAAAAGAATGGGCACAGTTGGCAAAACAAATCTGAACAAAGAATTTTTTCCCAAAAGAAAGGCGCTTATACACGTGTGAGTAACTCAAAGCCGATGGTATCGATATGAAATTGACACAATGTTTGGCACGTCTAACCACAGGTGCCGCAGAGTAGGCATTACAATAGCTGAGATCAGTCACTGTTACGTGCTGATTCCATGATACACTACGTAGCACAAATATAATGTGAAGCTCACTGCAGGTGTAAAAAGTTGAGAAACTGTAGACAATATTAAATGGAGTGCTTCTTTCTTTCCCTTTCATCCCCTATCATAACTTGAAAATAACAGCTATCAGCTTCACCTGGTTAAACCTAATACAGAATATATACAATAAAAGCATTTTTCTCTTCTTTTTTTTTTCATTTTGTTATAGACTGCTTTTTTCACAAGTAGTTTTTTCAACCAAATAAAAATGCGACTAGAAAGTCAATTAGCACATAAAAATTGCAGCATGAATACATTCTAAAAATCAAGCTCCAGATGAAAAGGATTTTCTTGCATACAAACTTTTTGTGGATGTATAAAAAACTTTTAAAATCTGATAAAAAAAGTGACATATAACTTCTAGTTAGAAATCTAAAAAAATCTTTAAATTGTTAGAAAAAGCTGAAATTCATTGGTTGAGGACTTATTTTGCATATGTAAAAACTTTATATTACCATTACTATCAAAAAGGTAAGGTTAGCTGGTTCAAAAGAAAAACAAAATTACGAAAACTCTTTACCCAGATAAAAACTAATGTCTACTCACTTCTGAGATTTCTCCCCTCCTCTGGTGTCGCTCTGTCACTGCTCTCTGACTTTGCCTCTGCATCAACAGAGTTTGGTGTGATTTGATTTCCCCTCAGTTCATCTTTGCCTCCTGCTGGAGACAGGGTGGCATTGGAATCCTGTGACTGAGGCCGAGCATTTTTATCAAAAGTCTCACTGTTGTAATGATAAGGCGATGGCGTTGTGACAGTTTCTTCAATTTTCGGTCTTTTGGCAGGAATGAAAGCAGAATGATACTGGGACTCTGCAGTATCTGAGGCAGTTGTAACAGGGCGGAATGCTCCCCCTCCATTTGGGTTTATCATTCCCATGGGTCGCATCAGGTGAGGTGCCAAGTGGGGTGCATACATGGGTGGGGGAAACCCCTCCCCTTGCCTATACATGGCATAGGCTGTGGTGAAAGGCACTGGCATTTCTTTGCCATCTATTCCCTGTCCTTGATACTGTGATGTTGCTGCAATATGACCAGCCTCTCTCGCTGCCTCGGCTGTGGATGCCAAGACCATCAAGGCAGGGGATGCCAGGGGGTTTGGGCCCAGCTGGAAGGATGGGTTGGCCATCTCCTTTGGGTCTGTCCCTGGGTAAGGGGCACGAGCAAAGAAAAACGGTTTAGTCCATAAATTCATTCTGAACATGACTGCAAGTTATTTGAAAAAACTCTGTCCCAAATTTTCTATAAAATCAAATCCAATACTGATGTCTCAAACTAAGTTTCTTCTTAGGTCACACGTTCTCTACTAGTGTGGATTCCCGGTGTCCTGCCTCTTGTAGTTCAACCAACCAATCACAATGAACTATACTATTTATACTCCAAACATAAGGATTATGAGCCCGGCCCTACTACTAGAATAAATTAACAATGCTACGGGATCGCTGGAGTTGCGCCAAAGTGTCACTTGACAGTCTCAGTTGGAGAAGTCTTACATTTTATGATAAACTAAGATCAATCTAATTTAAATGATAATTTCTTCATGACATTAACATGACAAATTACCCACGGCGACGAAACGACAAGCACCCTTACTTGGGCATAAAAGACCATGGGTAAATAGCTCTAATGTAACTTGTACAAAGGAAATAAAACACGCATTTGAAAGATAACAGTGTTGTTATGTAGACATCATTTGATTATTTCATCCAACCACAATCTACTTTAAGATGACGTCGGATTCGACATCAGAGCCATTTGTAAACAAATGCCACTAACCTGGAGTACTTTCATTGACCATCCAAATTATTGCAGTAGTAAAAGCCTCTAGAAGCTGGAGAAAAAACAAAAATACTGCCTTGTTTCGGTAGATGGGTTGTTTTGAATAATAGTTATAATGATCTGTAAAGAGATACCTCTTTGATGATCTTGATTTTCAACGGATTGCAATACCAATAAACCAAGACAACTCCGCTAACTGCAGCCTCGTTTTCAGTTGGGGATACCCTTACACGGGAATCATGGGAAGGGGAATCCCTTGATTAGTCACGCCTACCATCTGCGAGTTTAATTTGGAACACACCAATTTGCGATTGAAAGAATTGTCATTTAAAGCAAGTTCAGGTTGCTTACCTAAAATCACTTTAGTACATGGTGGTGAAAATGCCGTGTCAATGTGCAAAGAAGAGAATAATTTAATTATTTATAAAACTGAAGATTAGCAACAGACAAACTACCTACAATCCTTGATAAAATTTATTAATATTCAACTTTTGTATCTAAATACTTCTCCAGTTCATAAATAAGGATGTAACACATTTAAAAAACTTTCAAGAACCAAGTCTTGCCATCAAGAAACTTTTTTCAATCTAACTTAAAATTTCTATCACAGTAATCTCAATTCGATGTCACTATTTACAAAATAAACTCTTCTTATGGACTTTTTGAACCAATCATGAAATGAATTATCTACATTAGAAGCAACTTTCCTCTCATTTGCCCTGAAAAAACTGTGCATTATCAGAATTTTTTTTACTGCAAAAGCAATTTTTGCTGGATGAAGAATTAGCATTATACTCATGAAAAAATCTCAATCAATTTGTTCACTAAAATATAAATTGAAACAATAAAATTGACAAATTGAAGAATTAGCATTAAATTGATGAAGAAATCTCAATTGATTTGTTCACTTTAAACATAAATTCAAAACAGTGAATCTGACAAATTCATAAATATTTCTAGTCATTTAAAAATCACACAAGTGAGAATTCAATGAAAACATTTAACAGGGAATTTTTGAGACAAAAGCTGATCAAAATGGTAAACTTGATCAACAACAACATGCATGACATCTTAAAATTCAACAACATCAACAATTCATATTGCACAAGCTTGTTAAAACATAAGCCTAAATGCCTGCATAACTTATATTTTACATCTAAATGCAAGTATCATGCCTAACTGTGAAATTCCCCATAATTTTTTTTGATATGTTTGTACAAGCCAATTTCATAGAATGTAGTTCATTCCTTTGAAGTGCATATATAAATAGAGAGAGAGGAACTTGCAGAAATTATTTGCTAGTATACACAGCATCAGGGGCAGATTTAGAGTGGGTTCAGCTGCACGACACACAAACCATGATCTTAAATATACAATATGCCCCTTTTTAGTAACACTTAATGGTTATAAAACTGCACAAGATATTTCTGGATACAGGAGTTTGTGGAGAAGGCATCCACCCCCCCCTCCCATCATAAAATCCTGGATCAACCCCTGAAAGTTTTTGTTATAATGCAATACTAGACAAACCTGCTAAAACACACAAGTTAACAAAATTATATTCCACAAACATACAAATTACTTAAGTACCTACTACCCTGGCATTTTATCATGGACATTAAGTGTGTGTAAATTTTCATTATCTGAATCTGCATATATTACAAGTTATCTCCCATTAGTGACTTTCCCTTGCTCTATATTCATTTTATGGCATAGCTGAGTATGTATTTTTATACTCAAAATGTGTATGACCCATAGGAAAAGTTTAAGGAACAGTAGAACTAAACTAACAACACTTGCAAACAGAAATAAATGTAAATCCTGATGATATTCATACAACTAAAACCTGGTATTTGTTCAGATGGGAACTTGTTCTTAAACAGATGACAGTTTTAATTGGCAAATAGTGGTTCCTTTTTCATCACCAAAACGGGATCCACCTACGACCAATATGCACACTTAACTTTCTGAATTTTACATATAATTATCTTCTAGTAAGTAATTCAAATCTGGATGGTAACTTGTCATCTATCTTGAGAAGACGGTTATAAAAGTTGAAAAACAAAAAAGAACTCGGAGTTGCTCTCTGGCTGGGTAGAAGTCCTCTAGAACAAATTGCTCATTGCATTCAACCCTGTATGCAGCACTGTTCATGAGTGTGATGTCAACTGGTTTTTCAAAGATTTCCATTTTTAGTGCTTTTCTAGTGCTTTTGCCAACTCTTTTATGTCTTCTTTACTGAGTGGTGCTCTTTTCTTTGTATTTGCTGGTTTTCTTTGAGATGAATCTGAAAAACAAAACCAAATACTTGAAATATCTACCAAAAATGTTTTAAACATATTTTTTATCATAGTTACTGAAAAAGTCATTCAAATTCTATGAGAAGCTTAAGAACAAGTACATGAAAATAACAAGTTAAAAGAAGACGGTAATGTCTATTAGCATTCTTTGAAGGCATCATAAATAAGTAGCAAAATCGAGGGACTGGAGAGGGTATTCTATTTAAAATTCAATCCACTAAGTAATGTTTTCATAGACCATACCCAGCAGACACGTCATTTCTCATTCATCTATGCTCTGGAACGTGCCAATCTCATGAATTTTTAGTAAGACTAACTGTCCTTCATTGTCCAATACATAATAGAACTCAAATTTTCATTCTATGGCATAATTCTTAGTATTTATGTTTCCGGCTGATGAAGACAATCATCTGTAGCAGAACTATTGGATAAGTGAAACTTTTAATTGAGAAATAATGTTCAGGCCAAATGGTAATTTGTCAATTTCCAAGTCAAATTTCGTGATGTACTGCTTGGTTATATTGATACTTATTCATCCGTAACTGCTATTATCTCCGACCTGTCAAGCATGGAGAAGCTTTTTATTACCACTGTCTGAGGTCCTTTTTATTAAATTCACTTTCCACACAAAAGAAAGAAATTAATCAAATATTATTGGTCGTTTGTTCAAAGTCAGCAATTACCACCATAACAACCCTCTTAATGTTTCTCCATGTTGAACACTTGTAATAGCAGGGCTGCTTTATGAAAAAGTAATAAATCCCCTTTCTAAGACAAATCATGCAAAGACCAATGGAGATGTAAATGCTGTTAATAGGAGTCCGCCCTCTAATCTCCATTTCACTGCACAGTCTCCACCAGCACACAAGGAAATTTATTGCTCAGGGACAATTTGGAGTCAAGGAAGAAAAGGCTAGGATTTATGGGCGTTAATATGAGGTTATGTTTGTGGTGAGGAGTAATGCACATCTCAGACAACTTTGTTTTCACTGAACAAGAGGATTATTGAATTTGGCTTCTGTAAGACATTTTTTGCTAAGTAGTGACTGACACTGTCGCTAGGCTCTTGACAAAGTCCTTCAGGTAATGCACTCTTCCTACCATATAGGGGCTGTTTTGCAGTTCATGAACTCGATACAGAGAGTCCAACTTTTATCTTCTCTACAGTACAATTAAAAAGTTCAAGAGACTATTGTGTGTGCATTTTCTTGTTAAGCAGTACTTGGGTTTTACAAACCACCGGCATGTTAGAACAGGAAAAAGACATCTAAATTAATTTTTCTAGTGCATGTTTTCTCATAAAGATTAAGTTTTGAGTATATAACCATGTTTTAAATGTCAGTAATAAAATCCCATGTGCTTTTGACCTTAGACAATTATGTGAGATTATCAGACCATGATTCCTGTAGGAGGAAAAACACAAACAAATGGCAAGTTCAAATTTTTTCTCATAATATTTTTGAGAAGTCCATGCTTATTACTAAGTTATCATGAAAAAGACCTTTATTTATCAAGCATATGTACACACATTTATAGATAAAATATTCACCTTGTGTGCCAGATATTCCTTGTGCTTGTTCCAATTCTTCTAATGAGTATAATCCATCATGGTTCACATCATAAGGTACAAACTGCTCTGCTGATGGAAGTGTTGGACCTACATGGTCTTGAAGGTCTTCATAACTGACGCGGTTGTCTCCATTTTGATCCCATGATGAAAAGCCTTTCCGTAATTCTAAAATGTGAGCATGTTGATTCATTAAACCATTTGATGCATATCAGTTCTTCATTTTTTAATAATTCTCAATGCAAATAAATTGATATTTTATCTTAACATAAATCAATCCCCTGACCTAAATGCTTTGCTTGAGTTTGATTTGAACTTAAAAAACAGGTTTCCAAAATCAGTACATGTGCAGTAGCTGCACCTCTTAAATTGTTTGGAAAAATAAGTTTATATAAGTAGCAAATTACAATCGAACAAATGGTTGAATTTCTGACAGTGAAAGCTAGAGGCAGCACAGAAAAAATTGAACAGCTCAGTGAAGTACGGCTTAGCATTTTTCAATGGGATTCCCTTTGAAATTAGTATCTATATTGAAGAGCATTGAAGGTCATTTAATCTCACTGGGATTCCCCTTCTCATAGATGAAATTCTATTAATTGTAAAGTGAACTAAATCTGGAAGATGTTACAAAAAACAGAGTTAATTGTAGAAAATGCTAGTATCAAAACCTGTTTTTGGTCAAACTTGCTAAAATAATGTTTTGAAATAAACCTCCATGTTTTGACAATCAGTTCCAAAAATGAGAAAGGTGGCGTTTATAATTTGGTGCATATCTTAGCTGAATCTTGAAGTTTGTATGAAGTGAATAATGAAACATGAACACTAATTGAAACCCCATTGTATGACCTACTATCTAACTCAAATTGATCTTAATAAATAACAAACTCCTACCACTGTAAGCCCTCTACCTATGCTGCAAACACACTGCGCATATATTATTTCTCTGTGCTAAAAAAAATTTACCTGACATCATCAGGAAGCCCCAATGACATTCCTATGTAATTTTGCCCATAACAAAATAGCAAGGACAATCAAATGTTTGACATGAAAACAGATAACATGTGAATGTAAGATTGGGAAAATATTAAGCTTAATGGAATTGAATCTACACAAATCAGTGCCAGTTGATTTGTATTGTATAATCCCACCCCCTTAAAATGTCTCAAATCAATAACAAACATACCCAAGAATGGAATTACACTTACTTTCTTTTGTTTCATACCCTGGTATAATAACACGCTTCTGCAAGGATTCTACAAAGAAATTGACTGTATCTACATGATCACCTTCTGAAAATGTAAAAAGAACCACATAATACATAATTTAAAGGTCTTTATTAAACATTCTTATATTTAACTTTTTCCTGGTCTACCTTATTCATAAATAGTTTAGAGAGAACATGAATGATTTCAGGTATAACAAAATCTTACAAGCTTTGGGTCAAAAAGTTTACTATATCATTGAGAAAGGGAGTGCAAACCTCACCTTCATGCTCTTCCCCTTCTGTGTGAGGTACCTGTGATGTCATGTCAGGACTGGTTGTCTCTAACACTGATGCTATCAATGTGGATGTGACTGCACTTGGGGGTGTTACAGAGTCAGTACCTGTATCACATAATAGTTGAATTTATTCAAATATGGTCTCTTAAATATTCAAAAGAAATCTCCAATAAAGCATCAAAGTGACCTTCTGTTAATTAGAATTTTCATCAAAATAAAATAAGAAATATGGTCTTGGATGATCACAACTGGGTATTGAAAGTCAATTTGAACTGTCAGGTTAAAAACAACATGGCATCATACCTAATCCTAATGGCATGGCAGGTGTTGAGGAGACTTTTAGGAGGGAATTCAGCTTTGTCTTCAGGTAATTTGTGGCATTAGTAAGGTCCATCATGCCTTGTTGTAGGTCTGTTACAGTGTTGTTTAACTTATCAAGAGAAACGTTGACGTGCTGAAAAATGAAAGTTCTGCATCAATATTTACTTCAAGACACATTCATATGCAACTGGACATTCAATTGTGTGAAATTTGTAAAAATGCAGGTATGAGTCAGGTAATCAAAAATGGACAGATTGAACTTGCGATGATTTCTTATAACTTAAAAAATTAATCGATTTTAATAAAGAGGGCAATAATTTTAACTGTTTACTTGCAAGGCTTTTCTTACAACATAACCTCACTAAATGCTATCTCTATCACTTATACATACCAAAATATCTATATTATACTGTTCTTTAAATGCCCCAAGTGCACTTGTTAGAACATCAGACATGGCTTGAGATACATTTATAGGTTTGACCTTCATATCTGAGGTAGCACTGCTGTTCCTTTCTTGTTTTAACTGGTAAGAGAGAAGCATATATATATATATATGTCCATATCATACACAAGGGCTTCTCATTTCCCATCCTCAAATGGAAAACGCACAAACATATAGTTACACAACATACCAAACCTTGTACAAGTAGAATGTGCCTTAAATCAAAACTCCAAGAATGCTTTTAAAAAAGTGTAGAAATATTATAATTATTAAGTCATTAATTTTCTATCATCTAATTCATTACTGAAAGTTGACAATGTTTTATTTATCTTTGAGGTCACAAACATTGGTAAAATAGCATATGCTGAATGGAACAAAAGCCAACCTCATCAATCTGCTGTTTAAATGATGTGACCAACTCAGATACATTCTGAACCTGCTGCAGAATTTCATCAAATTTGTTGCTGTTACTGGATGATTTATCTTCCTCCTCACTCTCACTTTCAGCACTTGAGTTACGTAAATGCTCCATCTGCAGTAAGACATTGGATTGTTTTTGATGAGAGATAATAAGGTACAACTAACACAATTTGTGTCACAAACTCAACTTTGAGACTAAAGAAAACACTTTCTCATTTACAGTTAATATGAATCATAAATACTTATTATTCAAATCAAATTTTAATACATTTAAATAATGTTTGTAATGTCTTTGACTTGAGTGTGAAAAGACTGAAGTTCTTTCATTCTGGGCCTTGCCTGCCTGAAGCATAATCAAACTATTTTTCTTGATAAGCCATTTACTGGCATTTTAAATGTAAATCAAACACTGTAGCATGGCTGAATGAAAATTTTACATCATTTTCTGCATGCTAAAGAAAACCTTCATCAGTTTTATGTATGACTTTGCCTTAATCAATATTCTGAATTCAGACTGGTGTAACAATTATTTTGAAGTAAAAATTCCAGAGTGTCCATCACTTTCCCCTAGAAGGACAATGGGATGCCAACAACACCTTAATACTTACTGCACTATTTACAGCACTGTTGATCAACTGTTGCCAGTCAGGTTGTGTGGAGTTGGTTTGTGACACTGGTTTGTTACTCAACAGCTGGACATGTAATCCCAGCTCTGTTGTCCTGTTCTCCAACAGGAGAACCCTTTGCTGGAAAACAATTTTTTGGTGAAAATATGCTTGGGAAAAAAAAGAACTGAAGAGATGTTTGGTTAATATGACCATATTTCTTATCTGAATTACTTTTTAAGAGGAATTCCCAGGTATAATATAGTTCTCCACTGATAAGATAAGAAATTTTTCCCAAACAACTCTATCTCTTAAAAGAGAAAAAAAATGAATATATAACAACTGTACAGGGGGTATAGAATGGCTGCATTTACCCCTGTGGCTTCAAGTCCTCTTTGTAAAGTGCCAACATCCCTAGTGCAGGTAGTGTTCAGGCTGCTGATGGCTGCCGACAAGATGTTAGCAGAGGCACCACCTATGGTAGGACCAGACATCACTGGCGAGTTATTTTCCCTCCCGCCTCCAACCTTCTCCTGGAAAAGAAAATATCTATTTTTAAGACAAGAGTAACTTTTGATTAGAATTTGATAAGAATGTAGAAGATAAATTTTGGAAATATTGATAGAGTTTGAAAATTCATGACAGTTACTCGTTTCAAACCTACAGAAAAAATTTGGCATGTTTGAGCAGATTATGAGGTATGCTAACTTACATATTTTATTTGTTTTAGAAATATATTTTGGATTATGCCAGACTGTTACTGTCACCATGCCAATATCACCCTAAAAATATGAAAAACATTTTCATACATCTCACCTGCAAAGAAGAGACTCTTTGTTGCAGAGCATGCAAGTCATCATTTTGTTGTTTCATTGAGGTTTTAAAGGCTTCCACCTGACTGCCTAAATTAGCCACCTCCTGAAATATCAATTTAAGCAGAACAAATAAAATTCATTGTTTGGTGTGCCTAATCCATTTGATTGTACAGAGATTAATGAAAAATGTCAATGCTTAAAAGAAACTTGTGTACAATAGTGTTTTTGAGTCAATTTTTTAAAAATCACATGGGTATGATTTACAAATGATTTATAATTTCTTAATCAAATGTGAGTATATATCCTTTTTATCTTAACAAATCAAAACAAATCCAAACAGATAAGTTTCTTTGTGTATTTTTACTCCATTTTTCAGCTTAAAAACAATAGAACACAGGAAAAAAACAGTAAGATGTGACAAAAGACAGAATTTACCTTGGATGTATCTACAATCTGTGCTGGCAAAGACTGCAACTGTGGTGCTTGCGCAACACTCTTCTGTAGTTCATCAGTTTTCTTTTGAAGGGCATCAAGCTGAAAAAATACAATCTTTAATTTCAGGAGTTATTTCAATCTTCATTAAATAACATCATTTTACCCTTACAATTTTTACCATAATACATTTCACCCAATCCCCCCTAAAAAAAAGACATTCACAAGTTAAAATGTATTCGCAAGTTATTTGTTGAGCTATCAAAAATGAACCGTTTGCTTACCCGCTGGGAAATAGTTGCCACACTCTTGGACAGTCCCTCCAGGCCATTTTGACCAGTTTTCATAGTTTTTATACTGTCTGTAAGGCCTTTGACTTGAGTGTGTAGAGATTGGAACTCCTCTGGGCCTTGGCTGCCTGATTCCACTAAAACAATGACATAACATTTAATACACCTCTGGCCAAACCACACCAAGGGATAATTTCTCTTACGGGTTTTAGTCTGAACTTGCTTACAATCAAATTTAAATCATAACAAAATCTGCTTTAAAAAAAAACGTTTTTTCTTCTTTATCCTAGAAAAAGGGCAATTTTCCCCCTAAACACAAATCATTGCTTGAGCCATCCCTGTACTTGGACGCTGCCTTATTCCATTTTTAATTTTATGCTTTAATTCTTAATGACTGACAGATCATTTACTATGACATTTGTTTTCCTGACCTTCACCAGGAAATTTGATTTTTTATTTTTATTGCCACCCTGTGCCACGTATAACATGTACCTAGTCAGCTGTCAGAAAAACTTTTAACTAAGGGGTTTTATTGTCTTTAAGAACTGAATTGAGAATATACGAAGCTTTGCAGGATTGAAATATGCCTGGGGGTGAGGGGGGATTTAAAACATGCCAAGAGTACCTTTAATCATATATTACCTATGTGCATTTAAAGACAGATAAAGTCCAGGCTAAAGTCTAAGACTAAAACTAATACTGATGTTAAATTAACCTGAAGCGAAGAATACAAGTTGGATGAACAATAATAGGCTGGGCATATCACAACACTAGCATCTTGACAAATGCAAGATATCTAACATAAAAGCATCTTAAAGCCATTTTTGTAAATCACTAGAAACTAGTAGTGTTTGTTTTTAAAACTGATTGATTTAAGAAATAATTATAAAAAAAAAAAAAAAAAAAAAAAAAAAAAAAAAAAATTCAGACTTACACTTCATGTTTTAAGTTTTAATTTTCTTCCTAAATGAGACTAAAGCTATATAAAAATTTCAGTCTTGGCATACATAAAAAAAATTAAATATGTGAAATTGACACTAACAGATTTCACTAATTCATATTTCCTATTTTTATAGTATCAAAGATGTAATGTAAAGAAGCATTTTAGTATTTCATTGGTTTCCCTTGACTCTCTGGCTGAAGTATAGAACTGCTGTTACCACACAATATTAAATCTGCATGGGTTTAGTGTTCTTTAAACTAATGACAATCCTCCAGAGGAAAAGAAATGGATTGGACCTTTAAAGCATACATGTATTTGCTTTAATTACACATAAAGAATAATTGCCTCAATAAACAATGTGCATGTTCCAATTACTAGAAAAACCTCACTGGCTCAGCACAGTGACATTTCCTAGTTGAGTGCAATTTTAAACCATCCTTTGGCTCACATAACAAGTAGAAAACACAATGATGTAATTTGACTTTTTTTTTCGTGCCTCAATTCTGTCAGTTAGAAAAATTATGTCAGTTAAAAATTTAATAAATCTCATTTTAAAAGTCCAAGTAAGTAGAGTGAAAAATTGACTGGACTTATTGATAATAATTAAAAATATATGAGGACTGGAAACATGACAATCACTGAATATTCACTTCATTCTACCTCTGAAACATCTATTGGACCTCCTCAGATATCATGTTCAAAATGCATATTAGGAACAATCAGTCCATGTCCTCAACAATATGGTATTGATTCCAAAAAGAAATAAAAATCAATGGGCCAAAATATACTCTTTCACCCTTTTGTTAAACAGTTTTGTTAGTTTGGATTGATAATATGATGCATTTTATCACTTAATCCGTTTATGAAAATCAAATTCTGGGATGTAAAAAACATTTCTAACATCAGAGAGAAAGGGAGACTTACACAAATGAATCAACTATTCCAACCTTCTAGAATACCATCAACCTAGTTACTAGTATAAATCCAGTGCATATTGTACATGCAATCCCTTTATCCATAGTTGCACATTGATTTTCCAATGAAACCAACAATAGTGAGGTAATATCTGAATGATTCTATATTGCTCCCTTGGTGCATGGTATAACCAAAGACAGAAAATGGAGAAAAATCTAGCACTCATGGCAATTTCATCCATTTGTTTCATTTGGTTTATTGCAATTATCACAAAAAACATAAAAGGTGACATTTGAATCATAATACTATACAGGTTCTTATTTCATGAGATGGGAAATTATTTCAAAACCATTCATGTGGAATTTATCTGCAGGATTCTTTTATAATTACTTCTTTTGTTCTAGTCATTCAATTAGGGGCAGTTAATCAATGAATGACAAAATAAAAATGGAATTTTATGATTATTATCAATGAAAGTACACATGAATCTCTTTTTATTACTGATTGAAAAAGTTTTGAAGTACCATTTCACTTTTAATGCTTTACCTTGTCTAACATGCCCTTTTAGTTCCTCGAGTTGTGTTCTTAGTCGTAACTGCATCCATATTAATCCACCGCAAGATGCCAGACATGCTACTACTAGCAAAAAGGTGGTGGCTGATAAGCATACCGAGCAAAACCTGGACTGTCCACTGCGTATTGAAAACAACACTGTCTGTATTCATTTGTGAATAGCATAATTATAAATTGTTATAATCATGTTTTGAACAGTTAGTTAATTTTACTAGGTGCATAAATATATTTTTTAATGAATGCATTGTAAAATTTTTGAAACCTTCAAATTGTTCACTTATTCATAACTTTCACAAATTATTTGAATTATGAAGAGCATTATAATAAATATGTAGGATGGTCTCATCTTGTAAACAACCTGCCAATTTGGCCAACAAATCCGTGACATTAAAGTCAACTCTACACAAAACTGAAAACCTTATTTGTTTCAAGAAAATTCATTTAGATTGTAATTAGTCTATAGACAGTAAGATTTGGATATCAAATTCAATATCGCATGACAGCAGTTTTGGAATTTGGACGAATATTGACGTTCTCATACTTCAGAATAATTTGATCGATAGTTTGATGCCCACTAAAAACAATCTTACTTCCTGATGAGTGCCCTAGGGGGAACTGAAAACTCCTCAACCTCGGAGGAATCACTCTCGTTTCTTAGCAGTTCATGTTGCCCCTTCTTGACCGCGGACTGTTTCCTGCTCCGTCCGTTTACGAGAGCATTCAAATCACGTCGTTTTTTCATACGTTTTACCGGGAGATAATCCCCGTTTGGTCCTATTTGTTGCTCCAGCTTGTTCTTGCGTGTATGTCCAAACAAGATTATGGCCTGTTAATGTCGTTAAAATACATATAGATAAACGTAAGTTGCTTAATCCATGACCTTTGCCTACGATTCCATCACCAATCATAAACCGGAAGTGACGCTAGTTCCACAGGGAATGGGAACAAATCATACATGCTGAACTCTGCCTTTTTCTATGGGTTGTGTTGCAACCTAACAAAACATTCCTGGTCATTTTAATTTCTGGGAACCAACAAATAAAAGCCATAGTACCTTCTATAGAGCAAATCCCGTTTCTTATTATAATACATAAAGGCACCTGTCAACACGTGACTGATGGACCAAATGTTTACAAAGTTTCAAGCATTTGAATGATACTGGCCACATAATCTTTTAGATTTTATTTCAACTTTTTCTGGGCAACTTAAAGACAACTAAATGAACTGGAAGAGAATGCTTGCCGCTGCTTTTTAAAAATTCATTGTTATTCAAAGGGACATCAAATCCTTCAAAGAGCATTTCAGAAAAAAAAAAAATAAATAAATAAATAAATAAAAAATTAAAAAAAAAAAACTTTATATAAAATGATTAGTAAAATGTTTTCATATAATGTTCATGGACTTAGTTTGTCTCTAAATAAAGAATTGCCATTTTGCAGATGACATCAGCAATTTGGGGATAAAAGTGTTGCTTTTTCTCTTTAACCACGTTTAACCTTTAGATTTTATTACTAATTACAGTATGTTAAATTACACCAATTTTCACTGGATCGATTACCAAGACTGCCTAACACCGTTTCAAAAATCTGCCTTATCTATATCAATAACTACACCAATTTTGGTTGTTTATCTGCAGTGGTTTTATCACCAGAACCCAATAGCTATCTAAGGGTCTATTCCCACAACTTTAGATCGATCTATCACCGCGGGGAGTCTCACTAGATTACTGTCAGATAATCCCCCTTAAGTGTCCGTCCCCACCTACTACAAGCTGTAAGGGGTAATTAACTTTCGTATCCGCCCGGCTGACAGCTATTTAGCGCGAACCCCGGGGAGTTAGGTCGATCTAAAGTAGGTCGATCTAATCTATGGAAATGGGGTGTAAACACAATTACTAGTATTTCATACTTTGAGGCACTTCAATAGGTAAAAAACACACCTGAAAACAAGCTAACGAACCCTGTTATTGATATTTTGATCATAATACTGGTAGTCCCTTATAATTAGTATATGGTAGTATTACAAAACCCTATAACATTGCCTATATGAGGAGAAATCTTGGATCTTGCGTATTATTCTGCACAAAGTAAATGACCCCATATTTAAAGGCATATGTGAAAAAAAAAAACATATACATTGTATTTGACTTCATGTGAGCTTACCCTTTACCAAGAGCAGCCTAAAACAATTCTTTAAATAATAACCAAGCTAAATCTGACTCTCATTACAAGATGCATTTGAAATGCTTTCTTTTTAAAATCTCTAATTAATGCCAATCATCACTTAGCTTACATGCTCTACAATATTGTTATGTGAAAGGCAATTAGAAAGGCTTTTGACATCCTTCTCCCAAATGGTATCACTCACTGTCATCTGCATTGCGTTTTTCCAACAATGAGGTAGTGAGACAGTGAAATAGCTAGATGTGAGCATTTGTGTTGTCTTTGTATGAATTTGTATAATTATTTGGAGAAATGTATTAATGTGCTCACAAACTATGGCATGTATGACTTGTTTTACTTTGGAGTTCAAATCTAGCAAATTTCTTCTTCCCTTCTCATCACAAAGCAAAGCATTGTAACCACTATCTTCAAGCTCATTTCATGTCTAATGTCATAAGCATGTGTAGCATATTAATTTAATGGATTTAGTCTTGCATATAACATTTTTACTCTTTGCTGGTGTAAATTGCAAAAAAAAAAGAAAAAAAAAATGTATAATATTTTGTGCTGTTTCCAGAATTTCACTCTTTCCCCAAGATTTGAGTTTTCAATAACAAAGATTTCACCATTATGCTTGGAAATACAGTGTATATTGCATAAGGCAGCAAACTGCACAAGACCCCTTATAAAAAGCACACTTCAACTGCAAGAGCTAGTACTTACATGCATGATTGAATCTCATTTTAATTTTTTGAAAATCCACAAATAGGTGGTAGTATAGTACTGCCATGGCACTGAGAAATACTATAATTATTATCAACACCACAGTTATTACACATGCTCCTATTGAACAGCCTGCTTTTCTTCTGAATGGCACTGTAGGAGAAGATGTTTTCCTGAAATGACAAACCAATCAAGTGAAAAACTTCATGTGAGCTTAGGTACCACTGCCAGTTATAAAGAAGTATTCTTGAAACTTTCCAGAGATATTATAAATCTCAACAGAATTGGTATACAAAGGTGGAAAGAGATATTACTGCATAAAAGTTAAAAGGAGCACATAAAGTGAGAAAGATTGTAATATTGTTGTTGAGATTATATAGCAAACATGTGTGAAATTATGTACTGTATTATAAAGATTAAATCAGCTAACACTGATTTTAGCACCATGCTCTCTGCTGTCTTATATATAATCCACAATTTGTTGGCTCTTTTACAAATTAAAGAAAAGAGTGCAATATGACACTGGTTATCACTGCAGAATTAAATGAAAAACTTGTATGAACAACCAATATTTTTTCCCTTTTATCAAAATCGTTTCCATACATGATTGCATAATTGATTGGATGCATAAAATTCGTTATTTAATTTTTGTTGAAAATACCTTTAAATGTTTTTGTACTTATGGGTCAAATTATATACATAAATATGATGTAAAACATAATGCGGCAACTTTGTAGAAAAACTAAATAAATAAATAATTAAATAAATAAACAAATAAAATTATTAAAAAACATGCATGATTTGGCAGTTATAAATTTATGTAGATCTAAACTGATTATGCACACGTGTTGTTGGTGACAATGATGGCGACAATATGAGAGACAGCTGATCAGAATGGAAGCATGAATTGGATCAGTGCATTTATGATACTAACAGTAAGTTAGTATTCATAATGACAGTACCTGAATCCGCGAAGACTGTACACAAATTACATATCTGTGACAAACGGAAAGCTCATAAAATTCAGTGCGATCTACTTGCTGATTATAATACCCTTCGTACATGTATGGTCACAGAAAAAGATCCAGACCCAAAATCCTTTTGGTGACATCTGGCAAAGTAAAAATGACAATATGTGCAATATGAAGACTCAGTAGTAAATTCCAAAACTTTCACTTACTTTCGTTGCTTTTTCCCTTTCAAGGGCTGTAGATTGAAATGTTCGTGAACATCACTGTCACTGCTAGAGTCAAGGAGTAACAGTTGATTATCTCCTTGGGACTTGTCTATAACTCCGTTCCCTTTCATCATTCTATATCTGTTAGGTTTCTGGTCGTCTTGAACCCATGCCACGTCTGGCTGTCATTAAAGCCTGGCTTCAGTACACCTTAGCTATAATTAGGTTACCAGACCGCTTACCTCATATAAATGACATGGCACAGGGATTAGTGCAATTTCAAGCTTGGCATCCCAGCACCACCATACCAATATTACATTTGTTCTACAAATCCGAAAAAACTCGCGCTAATGAATAAAACGTAAGACCTTCTGTAGTAAAGGAGAGAATTGAAGATATCACGCTTTTTAAATGACTTGTGCATGTAACCATCAACAAATTTTCTGTTTTGTTATCTTCTTTCAATATGTATTTCACAAGACCTATACCAACAACAAAATGTGTGCTTAACTCCTTGATCAGAATGGAAACAAATCATTATTTAACAGTAATATGTACTCATATAACACTACATACCCAATTATTCCTTTATAAAATGCAGTCCTTAGAAAACAGATATGAGCCTACATGTAAAAAAAAAAAAAAATAAATAAAATAAATAAATAAATAAAAAATATATATATGACTCAAACACCTTCCCTAATTTTTAAAATTTTTTCATGCTCTGAGGTCAAGCAAAAATCATGTAATTTTGTGGAAAAAAGCAAATGTCTTCAATAATAATTTGTGCATAAATTTATTCAATGCAATCAAGAATTATCAGCATTTTCATAAATGAACAAGTACTTGACTCATATTTCTTATACAGCAATGTTCATCCACAACAAGAATTTCAGCATACTGTAAGATAACTGTTCTGTTCTGATAAACAGATATTATTGCCATTTAATAATCAATACCCTATCAACAAACAAAGAAATGATTTAAAATGTGATCTTTCTTTTTAACGAATAAGCATGCATTATATAATTATACTCAGCCAAACAGCTGGGATGCATCAACATCAGTTCTGTCCAGACAACTGGTTTCTAACATTTCTATTTAGCTAAAAACATAATTTGTTACTTCCAAGTAAATACAACTACCTGACAAATATTCTTCATTACAATTATACCACTATCATGGACATTAACTACATTGAGCTGTTAAGACTAGATCAAAGGCAATAAAACTATGAAATTAACTAAATTTCACCACAGAACAAACAGTAAATTATTTGGCAACATGGCATAAAACTGCCACTCCATTTGTGAGATATTAGGCTAGAAATGACCACAGCAGCACAGTAAAGAAAGTTCAGGATGATTCTCATACAAGACGAAATGTTCATAAAAACTACTTTGGTGTAGCAGCAGTGAACTCCCATAGATATCAAACTATAAGAACCTTGTTTTTTAATGCAATACAATATTATAAACTGCATCATATTTTCATCACAGGCATCTGACAATTATTGTACCTATCATACACTAAATAATTGCTCTTGAATGACAATACTGACCTGCAAGTTTAAACAGAAGGTATTATAATACACCCATCAGCATTTGATGGAAATCTTAAGATTCTTTCAAAGAGAATCTTTAATCTTTATTTTATTCAAGCAACCGTTAGTGTGCACAATATTTAACTTGTCAAGTAATTTTGATAAAAAACATTTACTCTAATGCTTAAACTGCTCAATGAACACAATTTATTCAGATGAGACAGTTCACGTTTATTAAACCTAAAATTGCTATATCTTTGTCCTGAGATGGCACTAATGCAAAAATAAGAGTTGACATGACACACAACAGACAAGTTTCTATTCATCTTCATCTGTCACGCCCTGTGCTGCTAGCTCAGCTATAACATTATCCAAGTACTTAGGATCAGGGTAGCCGTGACCAGAGTGGTTAGTGCCTATTTCTGTCTTGTGGTGTATTTCATTCCATGTCACCGTGTCTTGTTCTCCTGTGGTAGTTGACATGCCAATTGTAAAAATCAACCTACGCTCCCAGGCCTTGATGAGTAGTTGTAAAACCTTCAGTGAAACAAATTGAAAATGATTCAGTAACATTAATCATCGAATATACGTCCAAGATATTTAAAGAATGTTCTTATTTGAAAATTTGAAATGCTGGCATAAAAGTGAAAGCTTGATATATAAAGTCAAGATTTATTAGAGGGTGTTATTGTCCACCAATACCAGATACATGAACCTTCTAATATCTAATCTGAAATGATTACAGTGTTAAAATCATAATATGTTAAACATCACAGTAATTGACCAACATAGTACCATCATACCTTTCTTCCTTTGTCATTATCTGGAAGATATCCAACTCTGGGGAATCCCCTGGCTGTGTACATTTGACCAGGATTAGGGTGCTCAGGACCCTATGGGATAAAAAATAGATAGAATAGATAGATTTTTAAGCAAATAATTTACACATTATTTGCAAACAACATTTGACTTGTAATGGCATTCTTCTGCACATGCCTTAGTGAATTTATTTCCAAGTGTTTGGAACACTCAATACTATTCTGGTACATGGGGGTCTTTCAACAGCAATCATCTGGACATTCAATTTTCTTTGTTACAACAGATATAACAAAATTATTAAGAAATCTATCTCAATCATGTTTGTTATAAATATGACTTTGAGTGGGAAATGGTTCCTGATCACAGCAACTCCAGTTTTGATATGTCATTAAGGTTTGTTTTCATATTTAGATCATGACTACACTAGCACAGTTGAGTGACTTGTTTGCTTCTTTTAGGTCTGTACCAACTTACATGAAAATGTGCTTTATAACACATCTTAGGAACAAAATTTTGTTACAAAGTCTAAGACCTCTATACATTTCCCATCCTGTATACAATAACTTTTTACTAGAGAAGTACTAATTTAATTGAATTTGTATCTCACCTTCAATAAAATGCAAAGTAAGCATTTATATGAAAAAAATAGTCACATCTAAACCATATAACAGAAAGTTGGATAGTAATCAAGTCAGTCAGTCATAGGTTGCTACATAAAAACATTCTAAATTTCACTGTATCCATTTTTTTTTTGCAACAAACTCATATTTGAGTACTTGTGTGGGAAATTAAAAATGATGAGCTTGTTGGTGACAAAAAGTGTGTACCTGTATACCAGAGCGTGGTATTTTGTATATGATCTGTATAGTTCCACAGTCTCTGTACCCAGGAAGTTGTTGAGGCAATAAGTGATACTCCATTGACCCATCAGGACAGTTACCAAATTTTTGTCCGTAGATAGTCTTGCAAGTTGGGCACTGGATGCTTCCATCCTAAAATTGTAAATTCATTTGCATGTCAAACATCAAATGCTCTATGATACAATTAAAACCATACAGCACTGGGATTCATTGAAGTTACTTTCTTTATTTGTTTTCACTTTTCATATCACAAACTATATCACAAAGTAATCTTTCGCATTGTCTCTCTTCAGTTCATAGGATGTCTGAAAAATATAATGCTGCAGCTTTCATAATCTTGAAGAAGGAATTTAATTTCCTCTCACCTTTTGCCCATTCTCATACATGGCATGCAAGCAGGCTTTGTGAAACATGTGACTACATTTGCGGAGCTGGAACACTACTGTGTCTTTACTATCATAACCAGAGGCATCATTAAGCTTTTCACAGCATATGCAGCAGTCCTGGAAACAACGCATATCAAATTTTTAGTTTAACATAAATCTGAAAATGAGCTTTTGTCAAAGAATTTTTTTATATATATATACCTGTCTTTCTCTGTGGAAATAAAATTACTTTATCTCAGAAAGTAGTCTGCTAATGCTTAAGCTCACAATCATCTTCAAATATGTTTACCTCATCTTCAGGTGAAGGCTTGATTGTCACATAATTGTGCAGGACTTCCTCAGCACTTGTTGCTAACAAAAAAAGTTTAAAAAATGCAATGATGGAATTATGCTTACATAAAATAAAAACAGATACAAATGTGTGTGTGTGTGTGTGTGTGTGTGTGTGTGTGTGTGTGTGAGTATGTGTATATTCATAGTAAATGCATGAGAAAAACATACGTGTTGATTTCTCCTTTAAATATATCACATTTCCACCAGATCTGCTTGCTCCCCTTGAAGTGGACCTTATGGGCACTGTAGCATTTGGAGTAGCTGGCAAATTCAGTCCAGCACTCAGCTGTGGACTTGGACTGTAGGATGACAATGTTGATGTTCCACCAAACAATCTTGTATAAGCACCTGTTACAGTAAAAAAATTATAACTAGTTTAATTAAATTATAACTTGTTTAATTAATGGGGAACAATTGCTTGAACCTTTAGCATTCATAGGCATTTTACAAAGATATACTCAACTTAAGAATGATGTGATTTTTTTCCAGTCAACAGCTAATAGAGTTCACATCAAAAAGACCGACCAGTCTCAACAGAAATGATGGTGCCCATCCTCCCTGACCTCTACCTCCCTTTCCTAAGACATTAGGTGAGGGGGGGGGGGGCAGGCAAGTATATCTCCTGAGTAGAGGCTATTCACCTGGATAGCCTCATTCCCTGAAGATGTCCTGATAGACATCGAAATATTGGAGGTAAAAACCTATCTCAATATTAGCTGTTGACTGAAGAAAAAAATCACATCATTCTTCTAACTTAACAATGCTGATGAAATTCTTCTCTGACCTATACTCAACTTACATTTTTATGGACAGAGACATTCAAAATAAATGAATCAAAGGACTAAAATACAGCTTTGGAAAAAATTAATTGGATCATTTTCTTTAAGTTATGAATCTTTTAAAACATTTTTATTTCCATAGACTGGCATTTTCCAGACATGACTTTGAATGTCAGTGGGTGGTGCTAGTGGCACAAATTAAAATTTTGAGGTGATCATGCTCCGAAATGATAGGTTACATTTCAGCAAAATTGACAAAACACACATTTTGAGCACTTCCAATGTTTAATTGGTTGTTCATTAGTTTTCATGTCATTGCTTCTATCACTATTTTTGAATTTATGACAGCTTTACTGCCTTGTTATCATTTGGATTCCAGGTTTTCATACGAGGGGTGTAACTTAGTTTTAAATAACTAAAATAGGCTAACTGCACATGCAACCCATCCTCAGTATCAATGAAAAAATCATATAGATAGTCCAAATGAGAATTCAGATTTAGATTAGAATTTACAGGTATATACTTTCCATGTTGATATGTTTGACTGTCTGAAAGTCACATTTATGTTTACATATCTTGCAAAGCTGTTTGTCTTTACCAAGAGTAAGTACAAATTTACCATAGGATAAAAGAACAATCAAATAAATTCACTGTAATTATTTTTTAATTTCTTTACAGGATGAAGATGCCAACAGCATGATAAAAGGTAAAATAAAATGGGAGAGGACAAGAGCCCTCTTTAACTTAAATCTTACCAGAGATATCAGGGAGAATACCAAAACTTCTGTTAGCACCAGAAGGGGTAGACCAACTGAAATACAAAATAACACAGCATGTTAAAATCTCTAATAGAGTTATTCATTGTCCGGTCTAATCTGCCAAAAAATATTATGTTTAATTAGTATTTAAAATAAAATCAACAACACCTTGCCTTTAGGAACAAACAAATGTGGAATGTTTTCACCTATAAAGTTTCACAAATGTCAGAGGTAAGCAAGTGTATCAGCCCTAGATACAAAAAAGCATGGTTATCAATTTTATTGTATATTAACTACAAGTCACAATTAAACCATCTCTAAATCAAAGCATTATTCAACCCTCAAATTTAATATCCTAAAGATAAAAAATATGACCTAAAACAAGATATAACAAAACACACTATTATCTAGGTCTAACTACAAACCTTGGTGCTAAACTGTTGTTTGCTGGACTAAAGATGAAAGGCCTTGGGTTTATTGTAGTATTTACAGTAAATGGTTGAGCCCTGGTGACTTTACATTGTGTTGGCTGACTAGAACTAAGAGAACCCTGTGAGGTGTTTGGATTGGTATACGAATACAATGGCAAACCACTTGACTGATAATTTGCATTTGGGAAGGAATTTGAAAATGTGGATTCTGTACTCAACAAAGCAGCAGAAAATGTGAACCCATTGGGTGGCTGTGAGATAGGAGGTAAACTGTTTGATTTCCTTTTACTGGTATGACCATGTAAGGCATGAACATCTTGATCAACTGCATGACTCCGTTTCCTTCCCACAATTGGGTGGTCTAGGGTTTTATTCCCAATAAATGTATAGGATACAGGTAGAAATATTCTCTGAACTTGTCTTGGAAAACCAGTTTCATTTCGTTGCTGAGTCATTCTTCTGAAGTCAACAGTGTACGGACAGTTTGAAAATGTTTGTTGTATATTTATAATCTGCTGGTTACTCATATATGCCTTTTCTAAAAAATTGGCTATGTCAAGATCATAAGCATGATATTCTCCTTTCTGATCTCCTTCCCATTTCCAAACAATTCCTTTGCCTGGTGCACTATCTGCTAGATATATTTTTCTTCTAATTTGACGCTGTTTTCCTTAAAATAGAATCGTGTATTTAAGTTCAAGTGTGGTCTGAAGAAGTAGCAATTAAAAAGATTTGTCAACATCCAATTAGTGATGAACCAATAAAATTAGGTAGTATACCCCCCCACCCTGTAACTTCCTGAAACTTTCATTTTTCAAACATTTTTTGTGGTCTTTTTATTAGTTTTAATCACGTTTAATCCACCCCATTGTAATACAATGTGAAAATTTACAATGTACCTGCAGTCAATAACTTGTCGCATTTTCGTTGGCTAACTCTACCTTATTTTATGTGAACATAGGATTGATACATTGTATACTTGGACTTCCTCTGTGAAATTATTAGGAGCTACTTGTTCACATAAAATTACCTTAGAGTTAGCCAACGAAAACGCGGCAAGTTATTGACTGCGGGTGTAAATTGAAGAATCTAACATTGTATTTCAATGGGCTGGATTAAACGTGATTAAAACTAATAAAAAGTCCACAGGTAATTACAAAAGCATTTTATTTCAACAGCTTTGACATAGATGAACAAGAAAATGTAAAAAACTGTTTGAAAAGTGAAAGTTACAGAAAGTTACAGGGTGGGGGGTATACTACAAAAGTACTAAAATTATTAGAATTCTTCAAAAACGAAAGTAGTTTTTCCCGTTTAATAAATGTAAAGATACCTTTAAATCGAAATAGAAGTTTCAATCAAATTCTTCTCACAGTATTTTTCAGCATAAAATTTTATTCAAGCAAATCGAAAGAAACAATAGAGATTGTTTTGCCCTAACAAAAATAAAAAATCAATCCCAAAAATCAAAATCCGCCAAATCATACCTACCAGTGTGCTGTGCAATTTGGACATAGTTTTGTAAATCCAATTTGTACATTGAGAGCTTCGGATCTACATTTTTGAGATAAAGAGTAACTCCATTTGTTGTATGGTTTTCAATATAGTTTGAAACACCTGGCTCGTAAGGTCTCCATCGACCGAATTCGTTCATCCATTCCCAGACAACTACCCCCGACGGGCTCGTGCAGGAAGCAGCCATTTTCAAAACACAGCGGAACGAAAGGAAAATGGTGATAAAGTAAATTATATGTTTGCAAAAAGAAACAACATGCACACTGAATTTGAAACTAAAGATTATACAGAATTATCGCGTTTGTTTTTATTTACAGTTAATAAATGTGCATGTTGAATGTTTTTGTTGCGATATGAATATTGATGAATATTGGTAAATATACACATTTTCCCTACGAGCCTCATTTTATTCAATGATATCTCTCTGAGGAAAGAGATAACCGACTTGTAAACTAAATTCAATTTAAAAGACACATTTGTTTTTTATTACTATTTGTACACTTTAATTATATTTTATTTAATAAATTGGATCAAAATAAATACAGAGTTAATTTTTATATTTACAATACCAACTCCCATGATGCCGTGCGTTATTGTCATCGGTTGTCGAGACAGCAAACAAACCACTCGACTTTATGTGTGAATTGCAGTTTTCTCTGCTGCAAATTCAGTACTTGCTGTCGAAGATGGGGAATAATTAAAATATTAAGTGGTGAGTTTAGATATCACTTTGTATTACATATTGTCTAAAAGATTCGGTAAGACTTGCACATTAGTATATGGCTTGGTCCCTTGCAGTGTTTGGATGCATGTGTCATAACATAAGATGCAAGATGATATAAAGTATTCATATCCAAGACATATTTCTGAAATAATTAAAGCCTGTTATTGACACACCATGAATACGTCGTTACATTATATCGTAGACCATTACATCAAGATTTACTATAATATTCAGGAGTTGTACCAACCAACTAAAATATATTATTATACTATACAAGTACATTACATGTGCTTTTTTGATTATACTGTATCTATATTATCTAAATTCTAAGACTGTGGACTACAAATAATATTTTGGCCTACCTTAAAATACTACAAATAATATTTTGGCCTACCTATATAAATGTAGATAAATAAATTCAATTTTATATGAATTACTTGGATGTATTACTGATAAATTTTCTAAGAACTTAGATGCACAAAAGCCAAAAGCTTTAAAAGTTTAAAATCATTTCATGTGACACACTGCAGAATGAACTGTAGAGGAAATATTCTTTGTAGCCACAAATTTGTGAATACCAAAAATAAGAATTAAGCAGCTCTTTGTGGTCTTAATGGAAAAATATGTATATATCATTTGTAAAGGATTTTTAAGATTATGATCAAAATAATTGATTATTAAAGCACCACATATCCATTTTTTCCAAGTTCCAATGTGATGTATAAACTAGTAATGGAATTTCAGGGTTCATTTTTGAAGTATTTGAAGCTAAAACTTGTTGGAGTAATAGTTAAACTAGAATTTTTTTTTTTAAAAAAAGGAGTAATGAATTTTTTAAATCCCAAATCCTGCTACCCTCCCTTTGAATCTGACCAAACATAATAAGTGAAAAACTAATTTGAAGCATTTTGGCTAAGGTGTATTTAAATGATCAATAACTACAATTTTTGGAACTCAGAAGAAATATAGATTGATTTAGTTTTAGCCAACTGTCAAAATAACTGACCAGCTGCTGTAGCCAGGATTGTGAAAACTTGTTTTGGGCACCATACTACCAGTATTGATTAATTATTGTTATTGTAAACCTGTACATAAAAGCTCTTGGGGAATTGTTATCAGTTTACCAGGCACTGTGTATATTGATGCTAGGTGACAGGTGTACATGTCTCCTTTTGCATAATGTACATAGAGGCATTTGGTTTTCAAAATGAAAGTTAAGTCATGGGATAGGCATTGTTTGAGTGAATCTTCAGTTGATGTGTAGGAAAAGCATTGCGCAGTTTTTGGTGAAAAAAAATTATCTAACTCTAGAAAAGCTGAAACAAGGTTTGTATTATTTTTCATTGATTCTGGGTTCAAGGCAAGGGATTTCAAACTTCTGACAAGAATACAATCCGTTTTTTTTTTTTTTTTTTTTTTTTTTTTTTTTTTTGTAATATTAGTAGTGTTTTGTCAAATTGTTGACTGATATGTGGTTTAGTCTACCTGATAAAAATTGAACATACATGTAAGAAACTAAACAGTTTACTTGGTATCTGCTGTTTTCAGGATCCACTTTGTCTTTACCAAGGAAAAGTTCAGATAACTAAGAAACCATGGCCACTTTGTCAGAAACAAAGCGTGCTAACCTTGAGAGTGCTGTTCTGTTCATGCAGCAAGAACATGCCACAACTTTGAAGGGACTGCATGAAGAAATACAGACTTTGCAGAAAAGGTGCTCAGGTAAGACTTGATTTTTAAAGGCAGCATTTGGTCTAACTTTTATTTTACATATTTTTTACTAACATGGGTCAGGCCCAGAAAATATGTTTTGTTCAAATATGATATGGTGATGTGAATTGGATAGATGTTTTCTGCCAGGGAGCAATATTATTATATGCATTACCTGAATTAGTAAGTTGATTTCATAACAAAGAAGTTGATATGATAGTTTCTGTGATGTATCTAAACTATTATTAAAATGCCATTGTCAAAGAAGAAAACCTATAAAACCAGACTTGAACTTTTCGTTTTGAAAAAAGACACAGTTTTCTTAGTTATGAAACATGTTGAGGAGGCAGTAGTCTCAGAGCCTGCCTGTGGCTTAAATATATTTGCTAGTCATTAACTATGAATGTGATCAAGATGAATTAGCAGTTGGCCAAATCAATAAACATCTAGTGATCATGGGGGTTAACATGCATTTTCAATCAATGCTGAAGATTAAACCTTTAATTATTCATACTTGGTTTGATTATTTTGCTTATCCCTTTGTTTTTTTCCCTCTTTTCAGATCTTACTTTTCAGTTGGCTATGCAATCGACTTCTTCATCTCAGGAAGGTAAGATATTTTAAATATATATTGCCATCTAATGATAGAGAAAAGTTTTCATTTTGTAGAAAATTGAAAATTCTCAAAAAAGTTAAATAAGCAAAAAAGTAAATAAATAGATAAAAGAAGAAGAACATAACATTTTTTTTTTACTGAACGTATGGGAAACAATTTAAAAGAAGAAAAATTTGAGAAGTTTCTCTTGAATTGTAAATTGATTTGTAGGTTAACACTTGCTGTTTATTTCAGATGAATATAAACAAAGAGTAGAGGTTTTAGAGAAAGAAATTGCTGAGAAGAAGAAACAGGAAGAGGAACTATACAAGACAATAGACAAAAGGGAAGCTAAAATAATATCTTTGGAGCAAGCTCTCAAAGCTTTTGAAAGGAAGCAGTTTGTGGAAATCCAGACATTTAAATCAAAGGTAACAACATTAGAATCTGCACTGAATGCAAAATCAGATGAGGTGGTGCTATTAAGAGAACAACTGCGCCAGCAACGGGGTGTCGCTGGACAAAACTCTGAAGATCCTGTGCGCTCTAGTTTTTCACCTGCTCCACCAAGAGAGGGCACTCCCACATCATTCCACAGATCTCAATACAGAAACAGGAAGGCCTTGGTGGATGCTAATGGACAGCCTGTCATTGCCAGGAAACTCAGTTCATCATCTGGCAGCTCTCTGGGCATGCGGCCTGTCTCGGGTCGACGTTTGCCTCAAACCCCACAGCATCCTCAGCCCATGCCAGATCCTACACCTTTCTTGCATGCACAAGACTCTGACCCGCATCTGTTGTTGACACGACAGGCAACAACAGTGCTGCCACCTATACGTGGTGGTAAGGAACCTCGCCACCATACACAAGCTGTCCTTATACACCGGCAGAAAAATAAGACTGTTATTGCCAAGGACCAAGGTTCCCCAACTCGTGTTACCCCAGAGGTAGAAACTCTGGCGGTGGATAGAATCTCTTTGAATGATAATCAGCAGTGGAGGCAGACAGAGCAATCCAATGGGAGGGAATACTAGAGGTGCTTCAGTTGAATACTCTTTTTCTCAGTGGCCATAAAATGATCTATTTTAATGTGAGTGAAATGAGACGAGTCATTTCAATTCTGTAGGTAGAAAATTTTGGGAGCTTATGTTTATTATTGTGGAATTTAAAAAAGCTAGCTGGTTTATTGATGTATTGTTGTAGGAGATGTTTTAGTGTACGTAGATGTACTTAATTTATGTGAAGTGTATGGATGTGTGCATCACATGGTTTAGTTATCATCTTTTATTGTTGGGTGGCTGCAACAGCACCATAGCTTTAGAATGGTAAAGTGCAATGTAATGTGTAGCTTTGAATGTTAACACTATATTTAAATTGATTCTGGGTGAAGAACAAGTTTCTGTAGTATTTATTGGTACCTTAACTTTACAATAATGTTATTTATGACACAGCATGACATTTGCCAATGAAAAACGACAGTATGGAAGTATAATGAAATATACATTATGAACTTTCGTACTAGACATACACTTTTTAAAATTATGTAGCTTTTTCACATTACTTCGTTGTTGAATTTCAAGTTAAAAATTGACATGAATAAATTGCATTGTGAAATAATATTTGTGTTTAGTAGTCAATGTTTGTGACTGTTTGCGTTACATACTATCTCCAGAATTAAGAAAAAACTATTATGTATGTAGCAAATAGTATTTATTGACTGTTTTTGTTTTCATAAACATAAAAAAACCTATGTTGACAAAACAAATTTGGAACATCTTCATTAACCTTATAAGGAGAAATCAAAAATAAAAAAAATCACTTCATTTGTAACATCTAAACTACCCCTAATTGTAAATATATATGAGAACATATGTTAAATATAAAAATATCACAGACTTCTTTATCATAACTCCTAGTAATTACATGCCTCTAATTATTCATAAAATTTCTTTGAAATTTAGTTGTCATAAATGATTCTGCATTATACTCCAAAGCATTTTGCTCTAAAACCCCTCAACACATCATACTAATACAACATGCAGAAAAAAGAGACTAACAATAAGAATACCCAATTCTATCATTTTCTTCTTAAATCACGATCCATACTCAAAGTTGATTGTTGAATTTCACTTCATAAGTTATCTATTAACTTACCTCCTGTTAAATTTATTACTATACAACCTAATAAAGAGATGATAAAAAGTATAACTTCTGTTACAACAACAGACAAGTAAAATAACCTGAGGGAATTACACATTTAAAATGTCTAGCTAAAACAATGTAATTAATTCCCCAGACAGTATAAACAAAAACAATTAAAGGAAAATCACTTTCAGTTTTGATGTCTACCATCCAAAGCCCTGCACAACCAAACTGTCAATCACTGCGTAATATGATACTAATGCTATTTTTCCATTATCTATCTGGACCAGTAAATATAAAGCAATATTTGCCTGAACTAAGGTCTTTCAGGTGAAACTTAAAAGAGATGAGATATTTACTTGATATGCTACTATTCCTAACAGAAATACCCATTTTACTTCCACATATTAAACAACAACTTTCAAAAAAACTGAACTGCAAACATTTTAGCTTTATTTGCTTTATATAACACAAGCGAGAATCCCCTTGTCTTTGTCTGCACTCTGTCCTTAGGTTCTAGCATGCTTTTAAACTACATGAGTCTCTTCATCTAAGACCCCATTTCCAGAGATTAGATCGATCTACTTTAGATCGACCTAACTCCCTGGGGGTTCACGCTAAATAGCTGTCAGCCGAGCAGACATTATCTGACAGTAATCTTGTGAGACTCCCCGCGGGGATAGATCGATCTAAAAGCTCTGGGAATACAGCCTAAGTGTAAAAGTTGTATTGGCAGCTAGACTGGTACATGAACGAGTATTCTCTCCTGGGAGACTGAAAACTCCCATTATTTTATACTTCAGAAACTTGGCATACAAACCATCCTAAATAACCCCAGGTGGGTTGATCCCGCATAGGAAGCACAGAAATATTATATCTTTGATCAAATAAAGTTGATAGTTGTCCACTCAATAAACAAAATCATTGAAGTGGCAAGTAATCCACATTTTCTCTGAGTAAACATGCAGTTGATACTACCAGTGTTCCAGTCAGTCGGTAGAAGCACCTTAATAACAGAAACCATCATCAAGCTTAGCAGGGCATCAGTGCTTGGAACTAGAGTAATGTAAAAGTGGTGCATTTTCATCATTAGAGGCACTGAAATAATGGAAGCTGTTTTCACATCTTGTTGTTGCATCTATCTCAGGTGCTCTAGTGCAGTGACATGCATCACATCCCCTGTAAACCAGTGAGTTCAGCAAAGCTTGCAGAGGATTGACTATGGCCTGAAATGAAAAGAGATAAAGTCAACTTTCAATTAACAGTATTGGAATAAAACTGATAACATAAGTATAATTTTCAGTTTTAAAAAATCAGCAAGACAGACGGGCGCAGCCCCATGAGTTAAACGTGTCACCAGATTTTAATGTGATTCAAAGTGAGAAAATATTATGCAAAATCCATTTTCAGGTATAACTTTATAAATTTAACTTTGAGAATTGTAACATTTTCATCTAGGTGTGAAGCATCTGTAAAACCTATTGAAATGCAGAAACTAACCAAAAACTCAGTAAATTCTCATTTTAATCTAATCGAGTTAAACCTAATTCACAGAATTAACATCAAAATGTGGAAGTAAAATCTGAAACACCCTTAAGTCTATGCCAAATAAATAGACATGTAGCAATATAGGTCCCAATGTAGGCACAAGTGGTTCATTCCAGATTCAAAGTATCACCTGTAGTTATGCAAGAACATGATACTAGTGCATAAAGCATATAGCAATGGAGCATGTGCAAGAGGTAATGATAAAAACTTTTTGATAGTGTTAATCATTCTGCAGATAAAATTGATAAAGGCTTATTTGTGTTCCGCTGTCATTTCATTTTGAATACACAGTTTTACTACAAATCTTTTATACATACCATGATAAACCAGACAGCTAGGAATACCCCATACCAGCCATCCTTACTTTCAGCTATAGATGTATCTGAACCAAAGTGATGATGTATAAACAACAGTATACCATTTATGATATTGGGCAGCCAGCTAAAATTAAAAAAGTTTAAATGGGTGTATAAAATGTCACACAAAACAAACCTAAACACCAAATAAGCACAAAGAATACTCATTCTGCAGCAAAAGAATGCAGATAGATATTTTTGATGCTGCACACAGCTATAAAATGCTATATACAGCAAAGATTGGTGACAATGATGCTATCTAATTTAGAGTTTTTCACATACATATTAATCTTTTTAATCTTGATCAATTTCTCGTTTCTAAGAGCCATTTTCACTATAAATCATATATGAGTATGCTAGAAAAATATCTTACAAACAATCTAGGCCTATTCCATGACTACAAGTATGGCACCACACTTAGAATTATATTTATTTACTGATGTGTTAGTTGTTTGTGGATATGCATTGCTACAACTATACTAACAATACATTAACTGACAAGTAAATATCACTACACAGGTGACATAATTTCATGGCACTGAGTACAAAACAATTAAAAATGACCATCTTAGAGGATAATGGGTGAAAGTATACTGCTACATGTGTACTTACCACACATAAAACACGGCTGTAACTAATGTGAATCTGTCTTTGATTTTGGATATGAATTTTCTCTCCAGGTCTGTAAATGTGGCTCTGGCACTCGTTATTAAGCCTTTGACTGTAAAAACAATCCAATCCACAAATTTGTAGGAAACCCCCAATAACAATAATTATACTGAAAGAAACACTGAAACATAGGGTGTTTCCAAATTAAAACCAGAAGCAAATCTGGCAAATATACAGACACTTAACAGAAAATGTTATAATTTCCATTGCTCCATTCTAACAAAAACAAAACATTCCAATAAACAACATTTTTGTAAAAATAATCTGATCATGCCAATTTGCCAAAAGGCTTTTTAATAAACATAGCTTTTCATCAAATATGAAGTACAAAAAACAAAACTACTTTTGGCGATTATAAGGTGAAGGACATATTTGTCGGACAGCAGTGGCACAGACAGACACAGCAATCATAATATTTATAAGGACATTCAGTACCAGTATATGAAATAATGATTTGTCTTAGGAAGAAAATTTGTCTATGAATTGAAATACATGCAGATACTTACTGGCTCTTGCTGAGAGGAAATAAAGCACCGGGTTGATGATCATGACAAACAATATTGGAATGTATGTCGTTAAATAGTGTGGTAAAAGGTATCCCTCATTGTATTTACACCTATAAAAGGGAAAAATTCTTAGTTAATTCCTTCGCTTGTGGCAAAATATTTTGTTCTCACCAACTTACTATGTTTGAAAAATAGAGAAATAAAAGGGAAAAATTTTTTCATCCGAACCATATCAAGTGGATATATATATATATATATAAATGTCCCAGAAAAACTTATTCCTTACGATTCAATGGAATTTCAAAGTGCACTACTTCCTGGTTTTGCCTCAGGTACGTTTTTTGTTTTTGCACTGAATGTCACATGGATGTTATAAAAGCTATTGAGCAAAGAGACTTGTTTATTATTTTGAAATATTCAAATCAAAAGCCCAATATATTCTTTTTTCATCTCCTACCATAGTGTAATTATTTTAGTAGTAAAAAATTACTCTTTAAGGCTTTATGACTTACTGGTTATAAAATTATTAACAAGGATAAGGTTACAGCTTTTCCATACATAAAGTTTAGTAAAAATTCCCCCCATCCAGGAAGAATGCACTTACGAATACCACTGAGTACTAACAAAGGAACTATTACTCATAATGCTGCATCCAGGAAGGTTATCAGTGTGATGCTAATGACCACATGATTATAATGGCTCAAAGATCAAAAGCACTTTTGACTGAAGTGGTAAACCTCACCAATAAAAAAACTCTTAAATGTATGATTGTTTTTATTCAAAATGCAATAGAATTTCGTAAAAAATCAAATTGAAAAATCTAAATTCAATGACCCAAACTTTGTACCTGTAATTCCTATTTGAACAATTATGCAATAAAATAACAGACAAGCTTTTTTCCACAATAACAATCCAGTGAAAAATTGTTCCATAAATACTGCAGTAGGTTAAATTTTCCAACCTCTACTCCTTCATTTTTATAAGTGATACTTACTTGAGCAAGAAAGGGGTATAGAGAGGCAGTATTCCACCAAAAGCTAGAATCAAGGACAACCCCCAACTTAAAAGGTGATACAACCATGGTTTGCTGTAAAATAATCATAAATTTTCCAATAAATCAATAAAGATCTGTTTTTACAGCATCATAAGACATTGTTCAGACGACAAAAGCAATACCTACTGTTTGCCTAATTTAGTTTTGAAAACTGATTTAAAGCTTCTAGTTAGATCATTCATTTGTCTTAAGAGTTAAGTATAACTAGACAGCAAAGCTGGACAAATATACAGACACCATTTTATTGGTTTAATAAATTATTATCTTATTAGTATAACATGCCACAAGGCCATGCCTCCTAGGTAGAAAAACACATTTAGTTCTTTAAGAAAAGATTTCCTTTATTTTACAACATTAAACAAATAATTCAAATAAAAAGATTGCTAACACCTAACCAATGTATATTGCAACCTGTCTCTTTACCAAATAAAAACAAAAACAAAAATATGGTTTGGAAGTTATGGGACGAACATCACCAAAATACCAAAATTGTGAAAAAAAAAAAAAAAAAAAAAAAAAAAAACAATAATTACTGTAAATGTGAACTGATCATGCCGATTTTCGAAAGGAACCTATCTCTTTATGAAACAAAGCCACTCAGTAAATTAAAAGTAAAACAAAAGTACATTTTGGAAGTTATTGGGTGATGTCTTGTATTGAAAAGCGACAGCCAAAGGGACGACATGAACCGACAGATCAGAATATATACAGACAATTACAGTGTCTGTATATAAAAGTCACCATTGCCACATCTGATCTAAACAAAAAGGTATTATTTTGGCAACATGAAGTAATCTTTATTATTATTATTATTATTATTATTATTATTATTATTATTATTATTATGGCATATGTAAAAATGTCAATACTTTCAAGGTAAATAAATTTTGAATGCCACAGATAACACTTACGGATTTATTTTACGCACAACAAGGTAAACATCAATGGCATATGAGAAGGTCCAGAAATATGTACATAGGAAAAAGAAATGAATCCATGCCTGTAAAAAAAGACAACAAAGGATTTTACAGAATTAACCATCATCCTAGGCTACTAGATGAAACTCAGATAACAGTTGCATAGCCTAATTCTGATTCTAGACAAGCATGCATGTTTATCTTATTTTATCTGCCAAATCAAGTTAAATCACGGCATATTGAAATTAATAATTAGATAATCATATATCAAAGCCACTCCTATGTTTTAAAGTACAAACAATGGTTATATTTAATAAATACCACACTCAGTAATAAAGCATTTTCATTTACATTTCCTGCATAGATTAATTATTATCAAATTGTATTTGATCCCAAGACCGCCACATATTCTACACTATATACTTGGCTGAAAACTCAAACAGAGCACCAGTTCCTTCTCTTTTAATTTGACAAATGTCTAAACTAGATCTATACTTTGTCAGATTGGATTCTATGCTCAGTTTTTAAGGGAAATACTTCTTATAAATGGTTCACTCACAGAGCACACTGCACAAAAGACATTGTCAAAATGAGCTGCAGGATTTTCCAAATGTCCAGTAATTAAGTCTCGGTCACCAAGCCATAGCGCAGACCTGAACAATATCCCTGGAAATACCAAAAAGCTTAAAATCCAGAAAAATAGAAATGTCAAATCAGTTTTAAAGTAAACATGTTTAAATGGCAATCAGTCCTTATCATTTAAAGGATATAAAACTTTAAATGAATATTAAGAAATTAGAATCAATATGGCTTCTGAATTTGTATCCTTGAAAGTGATTTTTTAAGTTAACACCTTACCAAAACAAGCTAACACATCTGCAACAGCTAAAGCACTGATGATTGTTTTCTGTGTTTTTCCTGAAACTGTCTCAAAAGCTGTTCGCCTGTTTCTAGGTTGACCAGTCTGTGATGGGGCTGCACTGTGTGACGTGCCCAATACTTGGATAAGAGCTCCAGCTATGCTTAATACTGAGGATATAATGCAGACAATGTTATATGCCTTGAAAATGTTATCATTCTTCTGAATGTCTGATATCCCACTTTGGTTTTGGCTAACATTGAGGAAGCCACAAAAAGATTCCAAAGTTGGAGATGCCATTTACACTGTTTATGAACAACTCTCTGCAGCTTTTAATTCCTGAGCCTCTTTCCTGAAAAACACCAATAAAGCTATATCAAATATATTGGATTACAAGAATTCAGATATTTTTCAGTTCACTTGATTTTTACTTTCTACTGAGATCAACTGACTGAAAATTTGGTAATACCCTTCAATGATTCACTAACATGACATGACAGACCTCAAATACATGTAATGCAGTGATAATACCTATATACCATGAATAATTACAGCACCCATACAGAAACTGCTGAGCAATGCAATCAGTGTGCACTAGGTTTTGAGAAACCTACTTTTTGGCCATACTGATATGATAGACATACATATAGACATACATATAGGAGTGTATGTAGAACCAATACTAGATATTGTAAGATAACATTGTAAAAGTAAAAGCTTCACTCACTTAGGGACCATTCCCACAGTTATTTGGATCGATCTATCTCCCTGGAGAGTCTCACTACATTGCTATCAACTTAACCAGCTTAAATGTCTGCCACGCCTAGTAAAGCTGTTAGGGGGTAATTATCTTTACCCTAGCTGATTCGGTAGGCATGACAGACATTTTAATCATTTACGTTGATAGCAATTTAGATTGATCCAGATGGAGCGATGTAGGCAAAGGAACCCAGTCCTATTCTACTTTAGTGCTTCTGACCTCTCAAATTACCATGAACAATCAGTGACTGCATTTTCTTAATAAATGACTTATAAAAGTAATGGTATGTATTGAAGGTATTCCACAAATTATTTTAGGGATGTGAAACCAAAAGTGAAATTTTTTTCTTGAGGCAAAAATGCATTTATTGATTGAACAAAAAGCACAGGATATCCAGAAGGTGAACTGTTGGTTACATGTTCACATGATATCGCCTAACAAAACATGAAAAGATTTATAGGATTTTTTCATTCAGGTTTACACTTAAATAATTCCACCTTAAGTTATGCAATTTTTGACCAGATACTCACATTAACTGAAAATCTACTCTTCTTTTCATGTACAAAAAGTAAAGAATTGAAGGCACACCTTGACTCGCAAATTCCCCTTCCATCAGCTGATTCAAGTATTATGAAGTGAAAATCAAACACTCTAACACACTTGGTGCACGCAGCCTGTAATTCATTAACCATGATAAGAGAACCAGACACAAACAAGTCTGACCAACTCTCTCTTCAACATAATACAACCACAGCATCTGCACGTGGCTGAACATGCATCATATATGATCTGAAAATATACTTTCCTGTCTACTACCAAAAGGAGGGTCATTGGGGGGGGGGGGGAAGAGGGATAACTTAATGATTTTATTTCTTAATAAAGAAACATCATAGTATCATGTAACCACATTATAGTTTTTGTTCAAAAGAAGTTTAAACAAGAAAGCATAGGTCTATTAATTTGATTTTTTAACAAAACAAGGTATCCTAACAAGTTACTGCAAAATAACTCCCTGATCCACTCATGCATATTTGCATCACATAAATTCAAAATTTCAGATTATTAAATAAAATATTAATGTTTATATATGTCTATAAGACAGGTGAGATCTTTGAAATTCGTACTAAAAATTTATTGATAATGTGGACACGTGGCTTAAATCACATAAATAATATACTTCACTATGCATACTGAACCTATAATGGTATTACCAAACCACCAAAACAAACAAACACTATCAAAAATAACCATTTACCACAGACACCTTCATGAATCTCAAGTGTTTTGTCATGCATATCTAAGTGTTTGTTTTAATGATGTAAGCACTGGGTAAATAAGAGAGCTGTACATTGTGTGGTAAACAAGGTCAAAGCCTGGTCATCAAATTTACATCAATATGCAAAACAGTCTGGACCTGTTCAGTAGTCCAAAACTAGCTGCAGAATACTTACATAACCTGTAATCTAGTCACCTGTGTACAAAATTTGTATTGTATTAGTAGGTGAAGAGACAACTTCAATAAAACAAAAGTCAATCTTTATTTCCAGGCTGAACAATGAAGACAAATGGATAATTTTAACACCAGATTAATGGCCATACACTGTACAGTATGTCACCACACTACATCTACATTAAAACTGTCTTTGAAACTGAACATTTTTTACATTATCATTAGAAAAAAAATGTTTTGTGCAATAGTCACAGCAAGTGTTGTCATTTGACAAAAATGTAAAAAAAAAAACAAAAAAAAAACAAGGTATAAGCAAGTTCAAAACAACAAAAATGTACACTCATTAATTGTTGTAAGAAATTTTAAATGAATATTTGTTTATCACAAATCAAGCCAATTTAAGACACCAGTGCATTATGCACATTTTTAGGGATAGATATAGAACTCTATCCACTGTATATGATAAAAAGACTGAGGCCTTCGAGTTGACACTGTACGTTACCAAAATAAACCTCACAGTTCTGAGTTGTAAAGACTACTACATGTACATATATACATGTATTGTGAATATTTTAAATTCTTAATTAATTCGACCTTAATTATCAAATAGTTTGAGAAAAGTAAATGACGTTATGATAACGTGTCTCCAATCGTGGCTCCAGTCTAACAAAAAACACTTTTTGTCGAGCATATTACCTTGATTCAATTTGATCTTTTTCAGCTGAATTATTTGGTCATGTGCGGATCTGTCAAAACTCAAAACAGTTCCCACTTTCAAGTCTGCAACAGTCTTATTCGCCTTACGTCAGGTCAGTTCCATTATTATGCGAGTCTTATAGTGTGTAAATTCACACTGTGCATAGATCTTTTACACAGCTGAAAATTTGCCAAAGCCCATAAGCCCTTGACAATATACACACAATTCTTATCTGGTCAGGAGTGTTGATATTAGCAATTTCACCGACAGGGCATGATCAAGATAACCCTTCTAGCTATTCTAATTTTCTAGCAATGTAGGTTTTTGTCAACGTCAGATCGATGTTTTAAGCAAATAAATTCCCATGTGAAATTTCAATTGAAGTAAATTTAGCTCTGATTAAAGATATGCTTATAGATTTTATCCTGTCTTGAACCACGTGATTGACGTACTCTGCACGACGCCGCCATATTGAAAGTCTGTGCGTGCTCATGAACTAAACACACGCTTGAGTTTTGAACTCTAAAAGCGCCAGAGAAAGATATAGAAAGGTAATTAACTCTGACGAGTCTCGATTCCTTAAGTTAAAACATGTTGATTTGTATGCAATTGTTTATATAATTTTTGGGGAAGCAAAGCACAGTTCGACCGGCGTACTCCTCACTCCTCGTCCTTCGAAGTTGTGACTTTTTGTTCAGTGATATTTGAAGTACTTCGGTAACTTTTAATATTTGGTGATGTTAAATAAGGTAATCTACTGTGTCTTGAGATGTATTGATGATGTTAATTTTTCTTTTGTACAGTGCAGAGTTAATATGATGTTTTTGTGTGTATGTGTGTTTCTTTGTTTAACTGCCATCATGCAATTTATAGCCATTATTTTTATGTTACATTTTATTCTGTGAACCCAGTCATATTTGGTAAACTAATTGTATTTTGATCCATCTCAACAATCTGCCAGATTACAAAAGGCATAGGAAGCAGATTGAATTGAAACTTGATGGATTGAAGCATATATGTTTGTTTACTAATTGCTTATAGGGAATGCAGTAAAAACTGCATTTGGAACAAACTCGTTTCATTTGGATTTTGCCATTTATGTAAATTTTGCATTTTCAAAGAAAAGAAGGGAAATGAGGAGTCCATTAGCTTGTTCCATATAAACCTATCACTGAACGTGTGGAATATTGAAGAACTCTTGGTATTTATAGCCTTCTGATGTTTTGAATATGATTTGCATTTATTACAAGTGGCATTTTAGAGTATTACTATCCTGTGATTTCAGAGGAAGAGTAGACTGTTGCCACCATGGCATTGCCGTATGTGGTAGGTCCTGGTGGGCAGCTGTTCATGGTGGGACAGGCCCCTATCATACAGCAGCCAATCATTCACCACCAGCCTCCCAAAGTGCCTGATTATATGAATGAAGATAAACTGCAAGAAAAAGGTGAGTTTGAAAGAAAAGTACTTAAAAATATGCAAGAGCTCATTTCAAATAAAGTGGTGCCCATAAAGTGAAGACAAATAATAAACACTACTTAAATGAACGGTGCTGTCTGCATTATAGTTATTAGTTGTAAATTTTACTTAGGAGTTTATATTAGAACAATTTTTTTCAATGAACTTGAGTTTAAATGTTAGCAAAAACCCAGGTTAAGTTATTCTACATGATTAAATAAAAAGTACGGGATTACAAGTGATTTTGTGAAGGTAATTTTTCTTAAAGCCTGAAATAATGATTGGGCGATTTTCATTTAGCTCTGAATATACAAAGATTGTGTAATTTTAACTGTCATTTTTATTCCTTAGCCAGAAAATGGCAACAGCTGCAAACCAAAAGGTACAGTGAGAAGCGTAAATTTGGGTTTATTGATGCTCAGAAAGAAGACATGCCACCAGAGCATGTCCGTAAGATTATACGAGATCATGGAGACATGTCCAGCAGGAAATACAGACATGATAAAAGAGTCTATCTCGGGTAAGTTTCTGCATAAGAAAATGGATATTGGTCCTTTAATGTACCCCATGCAGTAGTTCAGCTGCAACATGAATAATAAGTAAAATGAAAAAAGGCTTTGATCTGTGTTGTGTTTGTAGCAAAATATAGGATCATCATCTGATATCTCGTAAAGAGTTTGTCTTTAATTGTGGCAATAAGCACTGAAAACAAATGATCACTTCACTTATGAAGGTATACAAATTTGGATTTTGATTTTCTTTATATTTATCTTGACTAAAAAAAAATGTTGCACTATTTATGTTACACTAATGTTAAGAGAATTCATGTTTGTGAATGTTTAATTTTCCGTCCAGAGCTTTGAAGTACATGCCCCATGCAGTGCTGAAGCTAATGGAGAACATGCCCATGCCATGGGAACAGATCAGAGATGTGAAGGTGCTCTACCACATCACTGGAGCCATCACATTTGTCAATGAAATTCCATGGGTCATAGAGCCTGTCTACATAGCTCAGTGGGGGTAAGTGGTGCCCTGGTATGGCTACTCTCATCATGAATTTCTTGCTTTTACTGGCTTTTTTTAACAGATAAGACATGACTTTTTTATTAAACATTTTGATATGAATGTTATTGATGTTATGCAGTGTAGAGAAATGCAAATCTTAACAGAGATGAAAATGGTGCTCAGCTATGACATTATCACATATGTTGTATTTTGTGGCACAGAACCATGTGGATCATGATGCGTAGAGAAAAGCGTGATCGTCGCCACTTCAAAAGAATGCGATTCCCTCCATTTGATGATGAGGAGCCTCCCCTGGACTACGCTGACAACATTCTGGATGTGGAGCCTCTGGAGGCTATCCAGATGGAGCTGGATCCTGATGAGGACAAGGCTGTCATTGACTGGTTTTATGATCACCAACCTCTTACAGACACAAGGTAAATACAGTTGTTTTTCCAATTTATATCAGTGCAGATATACAAGTCTAAGATTAATATCACAACTTCTTACTAGAAAAATGTTTTTCAAATATTTTTTTGTTACTGTGCAAAAATTGTAATATCTGGAGTTTCCGTATGGTAAAAGATTGTCCATTCTTTTTCTGTAAAGTGATTTTCATATTGATTTTTGTCCTTTTAGAAAGAAAAAACTCCGCTTTTTTGCACTTTGTAGTGATGGTCTGATTTTTGTAGTCCATTTCTTAAATTCGATAACTTTTATATTCAGGCATGTGAATGGCACCACGTATAAGAAGTGGAACCTGACTCTGCCTATAATGTCTTGTCTGTATCGCCTGGCCAACCAACTCTTGACTGATCTGGTGGATAGTAACTACTTCTACCTGTTTGACCTCAAGTCATTTTTCACAGCCAAGGCTCTCAACTTGGCTATTCCAGGAGGGCCAAAGTTTGAGCCCCTTGTCAAGGACAGCACTCTCAAGTAAGTTTATGGGACAAGTAAACTTTAAACTTTCATTCATTTACTTCAGTATTAGACAGGTTATGTCATCGAGATTGAATTTCTCTGAACTATTTGTAATTTTCATGGGTCACATTTGAAATTCTAAAAAAGAAAAAAAAACAGCATCGGAATTGTTTCATGATTCAAGTTTATGCTTTCTTGCTTTAAAGTGATGAAGATTGGAATGAGTTTAATGACATAAACAAGATCATAATTCGTCAACCTGTGAGGACAGAGTACAGGATTGCCTTCCCGTACCTTTACAACAACATCCCATTCCAGGTGCACTTATCATGGTAAGAACTGATGAGATTGTCTTAGATTCATGGTTGGTATTAGTACTCTCAACTAGTTATCTCATTACCAATAAAACATTTGTTCAAATAAAGGGTGGGAATTACTGAAGAATTATTTTGGTCATTAATATCAGGAATGGAATTATTCTTTGAATATGAATATTCTTGAATTTGAAAGATAAAATTGTAATGCCCTTGATGTAGATTGTTATATATAAGAACGTTAGAATTTCACACAATGTCAGTTAATCAGAGGTAATGTAAGTATGCATGCCTCTGTCATTCATTTGTGTGATAGAGAAATGTGGTAGGAGATATTCCTTGGAAAATAAGATATTTCTCCAAGAGCTGAACCTACCAAAATATCAAAGTCTCAACTTTGATAGATTTAATATAATGGTTTGAACATGATTTGTTTGGGTTTGATACTATTAAGAAGGATGTCTTGTCATTATTTTAGGTACCACACACCCAATGTTGTGTTTATCAAGACAGAGGACCCTGACTTACCAGCTTTTTACTTTGACCCTCTGATCAATCCCATATCCCACAGGCATGCTGTCAAGGTAAGTTTGTATGTAAGGATGATAATACAACAGACATACAGACAGACAACTGGTTTACTAAAATATGAACATTTGTGTATTTATATTAATAAATTTAAAAACCATGTAATGTTTGTGAACTGTTGAAAGAAGGAAGCGACCATTTCATCTTTGATAACAGTTGGTTGTTTGGATAAATTGCAGTTAATCAACTCTGCTGCTTAATGTGTAAATAGTGCACTGAACACAGTGTTGATGTTTTATATAGTAAGCATCAATGCCAAATGAACATGTGCAAGAATAAGGTGCTGGTTGTCCTTCTGCTGCAAGCTCAGTTTTGCTGATAGATTAATCACTGGCAAACAAACAAGAATTTGTTTCAATTATGGTATTCCTGTATAGTGAATCACCATGTGTGCGCCAATATTCAAAGCGTTATTAGTCATAGCATATATATTGTAAGGAAATGTTAGCTTTGCTCTTAATCATGCGATGATATCTCATTCACAGGGTACAGAAAATCTCCCTGATGATGATGAAGAGTTTGAGTTACCAGAGGAAGTGGAGCCCTTCCTGAAGGGTACCCCTCTGTATGATGACAGCACAGCCAATGGTATTGCTTTGTTGTGGGCACCAAGACCATTTAATTTGAGGTCAGGGAGGTCAAGACGAGCACTGGATGTACCCCTTGTGAAGTCATGGTAAGTTAAACTAGAACATATATTGCGTAATTACATAAAAGAAATTAATGACCATGGTTGCACAGAATGGTTTGAGATGGTTATGTTAATTACATTGTTTTGTGTTAATAAGAAGGGTGAAGTTGACTTATGGCTTAAAGGTAAAAACTATTTCATAGTATTTTGTCACCACTATCTACCCCAATGGCATTATAAGTTCTTGAATATTTCAGGTATCGTGAACACTGCCCCTCGGGCATGCCAGTCAAAGTAAGGGTGTCCTACCAGAAGTTGCTGAAGTACTTTGTTCTCAATGCACTACATCACAGACCTCCAAAGGCACAAAAGAAAAGGTGAGTTTTTGCTGTATTTTAAGTTCTTTTTTTTTTCATCAAAAACTGTAACTGAGTTAACTACTTCCCTTTTTTGGTAACTACCAATAATCAGCTGATTATGTTTTATCAGTGGTGCCCTGTGCAGACCATTGCACATATTCTTAAATTTTCTTTATTTTATATACTAAAAGTGCTGTTTTATCTGTTCCAGGTATCTGTTCAGATCCTTCAAGGCTACAAAGTTTTTCCAAACCACAACTCTCGACTGGGTTGAAGTGGGTTTACAAGTATGCAGGCAAGGCTACAACATGTTGAACCTGTTGATCCATCGCAAGAATCTCAACTACCTTCACTTGGATTACAACTTCAACCTGAAACCTGTCAAGACTTTGACTACTAAGGTAAGTTGGGATGTTGCAATAGTGGTTGTGGATGATCATTTGGACTGTAAAAGTATGAAGGGATTTAATTACTGTTTATATAATTGAAATAGTCACTGAGGTTGGCACTTTACTTCATCAAGATTTATTTCACATTTCTATGTTGATTGTTGTGAAGACTTGTTGGACTGAGTATTGAATATTTAGACTGAACATTTGTTTATTACAGGAACGTAAAAAATCTAGGTTTGGCAATGCTTTCCACTTGTGTCGTGAGATTCTGCGTCTGACCAAGCTGGTCATTGATAGCCATGTACAGTACAGACTGGGAAATGTTGATGCCTTCCAGGTATGTTTACACAAGTAAAATATTTGTGACTTTTCTTATAATCATAAAGTGATTTGTAACTTTTAGACAAGTGGCTTTTTTTTTCTTTTTTTTTTTTTAATTCAAAAGTATGAGTATGAAAAAAGGAAATGAATTTTTACAAAGCTTCTTAACTGTGTCTTATGTTAAATTGATGTGTTGGTGATTTCAGTTGGCAGATGGCATGCAGTACATGTTTGCACACGTGGGACAGCTGACAGGAATGTACCGCTACAAGTACAAACTGATGAGACAGATCAGGATGACCAAGGACTTGAAACATGTCATCTATTTCAGATTCAACACTGTAAGTTGATTTTACCATTTTGTTATATGCTATTTTACTGCATATCTGATGTTGAATTTGATCATTGCAGCCCTGTGCAGATTATTTCTAACACTCACATTCGTGTAGATGCTGTATCAAATATTATAACTTCACACATAGGGGCTTTAAAATACTTCAGTTTTCGTTTACTTGTTTAAAAATTATAGTACATTAGGGTGCTTGTTTGTTAGTAATGTGCCATATAAGGATGAATGCTGCATATGTTTACATTACATGTCCTGGCTTCAATTCTTAAATATAATTACCAGGGTCCTGTTGGAAAAGGTCCAGGCTGTGGGTTTTGGGCTCCAGGCTGGAGAGTGTGGCTGTTCTTCATGCGTGGTATCACCCCTCTCTTGGAGCGTTGGCTAGGGAACTTGCTGTCCAGGCAGTTTGAGGGGCGTCACTCCAAGGGTGTGGCCAAAACTGTGACCAAGCAGAGAGTTGAGAGTCACTATGATCTGGAGTTGAGAGCAGCGGTATGTTGGAAGAATTGAGTTTAATAAACATTGTAATAAAATAACATTTTCATCTTTTTTAATTTTACAAACATGTATTTGGTGGAAGTTCTGAAGAGATTAATTGAAAAGATTTTTAACATATTAAAAGTAATTACTTAAAAATTTATGCACAGTAAACAATAACTTACTATTTTTTCTAGGTGATGCATGATATTCTTGACATGATGCCAGAAGGTATCAAACAAAACAAAGCCAGGACCATCCTTCAGCATTTGAGTGAGGCATGGAGGTGCTGGAAAGCCAACATCCCCTGGAAGGTATTGCAGCCCTGTGGAAATTATTTCTAACAGTTATATTCAAATAGATGCTGTATCAAATATCAAACTTCACACGGGGGTTTCTGCAATTCGTTTAAAATACTGTAGTTTTCATATGCAACTGATAGATAGATACATAAAATAATGTGAGTTACATGCTTTTACTTTTTATCCAGGTACCAGGGCTACCAATTCCAATTGAGAACATGATCCTGAGGTATGTGAAGGCCAAGGCAGACTGGTGGACCAATACAGCTCATTACAACAGAGAGAGAATCAGGAGAGGAGCCACTGTGAGTACAATGTGATTTCCAGTGTAATGATTTTGAGGTAAATGATTGATTATAATAAAATCATCTAATGATTAGCTGATTTAGATTTGAGTTGAAATTATCAGCAATTGATCAGTTGACCAGAACAATAAATTCTTTGTTTTTTTGTAGGTTGATAAAACTGTCTGCAAGAAGAACCTGGGCCGTCTTACACGTCTGTACCTGAAGGCAGAGCAGGAAAGACAGCACAACTACCTGAAGGTAAGATACTTATCATATTGGCTTATTCTATTGCTTCATGTTGTTTTATCTTTGATGTCAATTTACATTTACATTAGATAAATATTTGTTAGATACAAAATATTACTTAAAATGAAAAGAAATTGTTAGACAACATACCAGTTTGTGTAATGCTAATGGTCATTTCTTTCTTTTTGGTGAAACTGATCGTGGCATACTTTGAGATTGCTTTGTTAACATGTGCTGGCAGTCACCATGTTAATGAACACCACTCTCCATATAAAAAGCATGATGTTAAAGATATTACAAATCTGTTTTATAGGATGGTCCATACATCACAGCAGAAGAGGCCGTTGCTATCTACACCACCACTGTCCACTGGCTGGAGAGCAGGAGGTTCTCTCCCATTCCTTTCCCTCCTCTCTCATATAAACATGACACCAAGCTGCTCATCCTGGCTCTGGAAAGACTGAGAGAGGCATACAGGTAAGGTGGCAGACACTCTTGTACCTATCTTATCTTTTCTTTCAAGTTAGGTACCTTTTAGACAATATAGGTCACTTTTCTACTGATTGCATTATTTGAACTTGCTGTGGCCTTTAAAAACCGTTTCATTGTAAATCTTGAAATGTGTCAAGGATAGGAAAACTCAATGTAGTATAAGTAAAGTTTGGAATTTTTTAAGTTCATTTGATATTCACATTGCCTCTCAACAGTGACTTATAATTTTATAGTGTCAAGAGCCGGCTTAATCAGTCTCAGCGTGAAGAACTTGGCCTGATAGAACAGGCATATGACAACCCCCACGAAGCCTTGTCACGTATCAAGCGTCACTTGCTGACACAGAGAGCTTTCAAGGAGGTGAGTGCCCATTTGTCCCAACAGTAAACAGGACATGCTATAAAACATTATCAACATGCTGGATATGAATTCTAGAATTTTTATGCATAGTAGGCCAGAAAACTTTTGTCCCTTTTTAAATAGCCTTAGTGCTGATCAGTTTGTAGTGATGTAATTGTTTTTATAATAGTAATGCAATTCTAAACGTATTATAAACTATTCTTTTCCTTTCTGTATAGTCACTGTGGTACCATTTTGTTTATATCATAGGCGGGTATAGAGTTCATGGACCTGTACAGCCACCTGATCCCAGTGTATGATATTGAGCCCCTGGAGAAGATCACAGATGCCTACCTAGACCAGTACCTGTGGTATGAGGCAGACAAGAGGAGGTTGTTCCCACCCTGGGTCAAACCTGCAGACTCTGAACCTCCACCACTCCTGGTGTACAAATGGTGTCAAGGTAACAAGATGTGTTAGAAACTCTGAAGTTTTCCTCCACTAGCTTGATATAATTCAAACTGCAGCTAGGCTCTTTGGTAATAGTCCAGTAAAGTATTCTTCCGTAGTCATAGCAGATACTGATAATTTTTAGGACAGCAGTTTCTGACATAATGCAAATGACTCAAATTACTGCCTTTCTAAAAACTGAGTTTTTATTTTCTATTTGCATGACTTAATACAGAATTCATGTTTGGGTGAGTTGAATACTTATTTTCTTTCTGTAGGGATAAACAATCTTCAGGATGTATGGGACACTGCAGAAGGGGAGTGTAATGTCATGTTAGAGTCCCGCTATGAAAAACTCTATGAAAAGATTGATTTAACACTGTTGAACAGACTGTTACGTCTTATTGTGGATCACAACATTGCTGATTACATGACAGCAAAGAACAATGTGGTTATCAACTATAAGGTGAGGTTTTGCTTGTTCTACTGTTGAGTCAAACTTTTAAAATTAAACATTGTTATGAAAAGTTACACGCAGTAACAAGTTTATTGAAAAAGAACAAATGGGTTGTTACACAGCATGAAATTAAGGATATGCCTTTTAATAATGACTGAAAGTGTAAGTTTTGGCTGTAAAATGTTATTTTCATCTACATAAAAAATGTTGCTGAATTTTTCTTTTGAATATTTCAGGACATGAACCACACCAACTCCTATGGTATTATCAGAGGTCTGCAGTTCTCATCCTTCATTGTCCAGTTTTATGGCCTTGTGCTTGACCTGCTGGTGCTGGGTCTGCAGAGAGCCAGTGAAGTGGCTGGGCCACCACAGATGCCCAATGATTTCCTCACATTCCAGGTAATTATTTCCTCATATTCGTAATTGTTTATTCCCCTTGAAAATTAGTTTATAGTTTTTTTCTTAAAATTTTTGTCTAATAAACCAGTGACAAGTTTGTGAGTTTTGTAATGTTTTTTATTTTGTAGTCAAATATATTTTGGTGTAAAATTTACATATAATAGCTTGCCACTAGGATAAACTGAAATAGTAAAAATGTTCTTTTCAGGATGTAGCAACAGAGAGTGCCCACCCCATCAGACTGTATTCAAGATATATTGACAGAGTTCACATATTCCTTAGGTAAGTATGGAATAGTATTGTATCGATTGTAAATCAGAATCAACATTTTGATTTATCCTGGAGTGAAATCTGTAACAGGGGACCTTTTTGATGCACTTTTTGGTGTCTATTAATTACTTTTATAGATTTTGGTATATAAAACAGTTATCTATTTTCACATGGAACAAATATAGCGATGCTAGCTGAATAGATGTAAGTTTCTTCAAAGTGGAAGATTTCAGGGACAAGACATAAAGATAGCATTGTGCTGTACACTTCAGGTTCTCTGCAGAAGAAGCTCGTGACTTGATCCAGAGGTACCTTACAGAGCACCCTGATCCTAACAATGAGAACATAGTGGGATATAACAACAAGAAATGCTGGCCAAGAGACTCCAGGATGAGGCTTATGAAACATGATGTCAACCTGTAAGTATATGTGTGGTGACATTTAAGTAAAGATGACAGTAGACAGTGGAAGCTTTTCTCATTCATTTTCTTGTTAGTTTGATACATGATAAAATAATGGGATGAAATTAACGTGTGGGAATATTTGCAACTTTAGTGGAAGTATGCTGTAAAATGTGCCAAATCAAATAAGAAACATTGGAATTTGCCTGTCTATTAGAAATGGTTGATAATATTGTTCCCATACATCTTTCAGTGGTCGAGCAGTGTTCTGGGACATCAAGAACCGTCTGCCCCGCTCAGTGACCACTGTCCAGTGGGAGGGCAGTTTTGTGTCTGTGTACAGCAAGGACAACCCCAACCTTCTGTTCAACATGAGTGGCTTTGAGTGCCGTATACTGCCCAAGTGCAGGATGACCCATGAGGAGTTCACTCACAAAGATGGGGTCTGGAATCTGCAAAATGAGGTGATATGATCTTCTTACTAAGAAGATAGACTAATAAAGAATAGAAATTCTGGTGCAACTGAATGTGGTATTGTGCACCAATTGGTGATATATGAAGGAGTTTAAAGTCAGTCTGAAGGTCTCTTTAGTTTCAATAAAAGCTGAATGGAATTTTTTTGATTGATAAAATCTAAGTGTCCATCAGTATCTTCTCAAACAATAAAACTTCAGGCTGTTAATATATAATAATATGTAATTGATTTGTCCAGGTAACCAAGGAGAGGACAGCCCAGTGTTTCCTTAGAGTTGATGATGAGTCCATGAACAGATTCCACAACAGAGTGAGGCAGATCCTTATGGCATCTGGTTCTACAACCTTTACCAAGGTATGACTTTCATTTACAAATAGTGACAGGGTGCTGTGAATTCAGTCTGAATTTCCAATAAGCAGTAGCATTCCAGCATGATGTATGTGATAGCTGTGTCTTTGCCATACATCAGGAGGATTTAAGTAAATTGGAGGGGTATTCTGCATTTAAACATTGGCAAATGTAAGTTTCTCAGAATTATATAGATTGTCTGTCCTGTTGTTTCAGATTGTCAACAAGTGGAACACTGCCCTCATTGGTTTGATGACCTACTTCAGGGAGGCTGTGGTGAACACACAAGAGTTACTAGACCTGCTGGTCAAATGTGAAAACAAAATACAAACACGTATCAAAATTGGACTGAACTCTAAAATGCCTAGTCGTTTCCCCCCAGTGGTGTTCTACACCCCCAAAGAGCTGGGCGGCCTGGGGATGTTGTCCATGGGCCATGTGTTGATTCCACAGTCTGATCTGAGGTGGTCCAAGCAGACTGATGTGGGAATCACTCACTTCAGGTCTGGAATGAGCCATGATGAGGATCAGTTGATCCCTAACTTGTACAGGTAAGTGTTTCTAATTAGGACAAAGAGCAATTTCTACATCATTATAAGAAAAGTTCATTAAACATGTTAATTCCCTTCTCTTGTCTTTTTAGTCAAAATTATAATTTGAAATGGTGTATAGAAAAGGGAGTACATCTTTAACTGTGGAGCAGATATTGCATTTGTTTTGCTTTGATTCCTGTGCTCATTATAAAAGTGATGCCTATTTGTGTTGCAATAACTATACTAAACTATACTTGGTCTCTACTAAAGGTATGTGATGCCGTGGGAGAGTGAATTCATAGACTCTCAGAGAGTGTGGGCTGAGTATGCTCTGAAACGACAGGAGGCCAACGCACAAAACAGGCGCCTCACTCTGGAAGACCTGGAGGACAGCTGGGACCGTGGTATTCCTCGTATCAATACCTTGTTCCAGAAGGACAGACACACACTTGCCTATGATAAAGGGTGGAGGGTTAGGACTGAGTTCAAGGCATATCAGGTATCAAAGATTTCTAATGTTGACAAAATGATTTATTTTGCATGCAGTTTTAGTACAGGATGCAAAATGTATAACAGATTTTTTTGTAGAAATTTCTCCAAATTGTTAATTTAAGTTTCATATGTTTTTACATTATTTTTGAGTTTGACTTTTAAACAGAATTAAAAGGAATAGATACTATATGTTCGATTTATTTTACCTCAGGTACTGAAGCAGAATCCATTCTGGTGGACCCACCAGCGCCATGACGGCAAACTGTGGAACCTGAACAACTACAGAACTGACATGATCCAAGCCCTGGGAGGAGTAGAAGGCATTCTGGAACACACACTGTTCAAGGGCACCTACTTCCCCACATGGGAAGGTCTGTTCTGGGAGAAGGCTAGTGGGTTTGAGGAGTCCATGAAGTACAAGAAGTTGACCAATGCACAGAGGTCAGGTCTCAACCAGATCCCCAACCGTCGCTTCACTCTTTGGTGGTCACCCACTATTAACAGGGCAAATGTAAGTAGAAATTATCTTTCAAAAAGGGGGTTGTGTTTTATTTTAGTAGGATTGTAAATGTTTGATATGCTGATGCTATCAAGGAAGTTCAGCCTTGGTTGAGCAGACAAATATTTGTTTTGATCATTATAGGAATGTGAATGTTTGAATGCATTTATGCTTACTGTAGTTTCTATCTTGATTTTCTTGTGCCTTTTCCAGGTGTATGTAGGTTTCCAGGTACAACTGGACCTGACTGGTATATTCATGCATGGCAAGATCCCCACTCTGAAGATCTCTCTCATCCAGATCTTCAGGGCTCACTTGTGGCAAAAGATCCATGAGAGTGTGGTCATGGACTTGTGTCAGGTATGTCTTTTATTATTAATGAACTATCACCCCGGAATATATTTTACTGTTTGCATATTTGTAACATACTTAAAGATTATTTGTTAATTGCATAATTTTAATTTTATGAATGCATGCTTTGAATGTTTCCAATAACAAAAAGTATGGGAGAAGATGCCATGATTAGTAGATTAGTGTCTATCTGAGGTACACTTGTACATGTTTGAGGGAGTTTATACCGTCTGTACATTTGACCATAATTCCACACAGTGTCTATCTGTTGTATTAATATTTAAAAAAAGTTTCAATTTACCTCCCTTTTATTCCAGGTATTTGATCAAGAGTTAGATGCCCTGGAGATTGAGACTGTACAGAAAGAGACCATCCATCCCAGAAAATCTTACAAGATGAACAGCTCCTGTGCAGATATCCTGTTGTTTGCTGCTTACAAGTGGAATGTTTCCAAGCCTTCCCTTCTTGCAGACTCAAAGTAAGAGTTATCTCACTATATTATATTTTGCTAGCAGTTGAACTATTTGTTTTAATATTGGTAATTGAGTATTGCAGGTTTGTTGTTTTATAACATTGAGTTCTTTTGTCTGTCGTTTACATGATTGTTATCTGGAAACACTTTCCTCAAGATGAAAAGTTACTAAAAGTGTTTTATCACTCTTTCTGGGATCTTTTTTTGAAGAATTGCAGCTGCATAGTATTGTAATCTAATATTTTCCTCTTCAAAGAGATGTGATGGACAACACCACAACCCAGAAGTACTGGCTTGACATCCAGCTACGTTGGGGAGACTATGACTCTCACGACATAGAGAGATATGCCAGAGCCAAGTTCTTGGACTATACCACTGACAACATGAGTATCTATCCGTCCCCCACTGGGGTCATGATTGCTCTGGATCTGGCTTATAATTTACACAGGTAGGAGAGTGGAGAATGTAATTTATGGGACAGTAGGTATTATATTTTTGAAACCATCTCTGTTGGCTTTATAATAAATCATGATATGTGAAATATTACATATTTTCCAGCAGTGGAAATGTGTTGTATTTTAAAATTGTATAAGTATTGTAAAAATTCTTCAAAATGTTCACAATGACTGCAGTTTGTAGATCAATATTTGATTTGTCAAGTATGTGGAAGATGTATTAATTAGTTATTCCCTGCTTTGTTTTCAGTGCATTTGGCAATTGGTTCCCTGGTTGTAAGCCTCTGATCCAGCAGGCCATGGCAAAGATCATGAAGGCCAACCCTGCCTTGTATGTGCTGCGTGAACGTATCCGTAAAGCCCTCCAGCTGTACTCCTCTGAGCCCACTGAGCCCTACCTGTCATCACAGAACTATGGAGAGCTGTTCTCCAATCAGATCATCTGGTTTGTAGATGATACCAATGTCTACAGAGTGACCATTCACAAGGTAGGTGGAGTAGCGTTGCTTCATCAGTGTGATATAAACTGAACTAAGATAGATCACGAGTGGAGTTGCTTCATTACTGTTATATATAGTACCTGAACTAAGAAGCACCTTTGTCACCCTTTTTCATTGGAAACCAGATGAAAAAACACTGCTATTGGAAAAGAATAAAGATATTTATGAAATCTCAAAATAATTGAGCTATAAGTTGCAAATTATTGGTTTCTGTTGTTCATATGTTCTTTTTCAATTATTTTGTTCATGCATATTATGATTTAATATCCCCATTCTCTTCTTCACAGACATTTGAAGGTAACCTGACCACCAAGCCCATCAATGGCGCCATCTTTATCTTCAACCCCAGGACAGGCCAACTGTTTCTGAAGATCATTCACACTTCTGTCTGGGCAGGACAGAAACGTCTGGGCCAGCTAGCTAAGTGGAAGACTGCTGAGGAAGTGGCAGCCTTGATCCGTTCTCTGCCTGTGGAGGAACAGCCCAAACAGATCATTGTGACCAGGAAAGGAATGTTGGATCCCCTGGAGGTCCACTTGCTGGATTTCCCTAACATTGTGATCAAGGGTAAGGAGAGCTTTCAAAAATGTCTCTTTGCGTCATCGAATTGTAAATTCAGGTACACTGGATCATTAAAAAAATTGGCTTTTATTTTGAGAAAGATATGTTTGTGAACTTTTCATATGCCATTTAGCTGAAGCATTTATATAAGGAATGCCTTTATAACTAGTATCCTGGCATTTATGGATTTTCAATTATTGACATTTATAGGAAGTGAGCTGCAGCTGCCATTCCAGGCCTGTTTGAAGGTGGAGAAGTTTGGTGATCTCATTCTGAAAGCCACAGAACCTCAGATGGTGTTGTTCAATTTATACGATGATTGGCTGAAGACCATTTCATCTTACACTGTATGTTGACAATAATTTATTGTTGAATTTCAGTACACTCATTATTTAACCTCACAGATAAGAGAGAGGAAACCCTTATTTCTGCTATTCAAATAAACTGCTTTATACAATGGAATTCACTGTAGAAAGTTAACCTAGGTTAAAATGTTGAAGTTTCTCCTATTTTTACTCTAGACTGACCCAATTCATTTCTTTAATATTTTTGTGCTATTGCTTATATTCCATTTGGGTTTTTAGGCATTTTCCCGTCTGATCCTGATACTGCGCGCACTGCATGTGAACACAGACCGAACCAAAGTGATCCTGAAGCCTGACAAGACCACCATCACGGAGCAGCACCACATCTGGCCAACACTCACAGATGAGGAGTGGATCAAGGTGGAGGTGCAGCTCAAGGACCTCATCCTGGCTGACTATGGAAAGAAGAACAAGTATGTTGCTTGCTGAAAATATTATATGATTGGGTTTATGACATAATTTTTATTCAAAGGATGCACTAATAATGAAAGAGGGCAATATTTTAAATTAAAGGATTTATAAAGGATGTGTATAGAAAAAACAATTACTATTGAAGCAGTTAAAGTAAATTATTTTACAACATTGGAATTTTAACCCTTATTTCAGTGTGAATGTGGCATCCCTCACCCAGTCTGAAATCCGTGACATAATTCTTGGTATGGAGATATCAGCTCCCTCAGCACAGCGCCAACAGATTGCAGAGATAGAGAAACAGACCAAGGAACAGTCTCAGCTCACAGCAACCACCACCCGCACAGTCAACAAGCATGGTGATGAGATCATTACATCTACCACCAGTAATTATGAGACTGCAACATTCTCGTCAAAGACAGAGTGGCGTGTTCGTGCAATTTCAGCCACTAATCTTCACCTGCGAACTAACCACATCTATGTGTCATCAGATGATATCAAGGAAACGGGGTACACCTATATCTTACCCAAGAATATCCTGAAGAAGTTCATCATCATTTCTGACCTTAGAGCACAGGTATAATCTCTTTTGAATTATGATATGTGATATTATGATCATTACATAAAAATGATTTTGTCCCAACATTATGAATGGTCTGGAAGTCCTCTTCAAGATTTCACAACACCATGGTTTGAGATAAATTCAAATAAACGACTCTTGGCCACTAAGTATTTGTGTTGGAATATTTTCAAAGCCTTTAGCAAATATGGCCTTCCATATTTATTGCTGGATGCAACTGGAACATATAGAGATTACTAACTCCCCTTTGTAACTCGAATTTTTTTTCATGCATCTTGATTATATAATTTCATTATTTTCTCTCAGATTGCTGGTTACCTGTATGGAGTGAGCCCACCTGACAACCCCCAGGTGAAGGAGATCCGCTGTATTGTAATGCCTCCACAGTGGGGCACACATCAGACTGTGCACCTGCCTATTTCACTACCTAACCAGGAATATCTTAAGGTAAAGTATACACTTCA